AAGTTAACGAATTAGCAATATTATTAAAATAAAAAAAAATTTTAACTTTTAATAAATCTTAAAAAATATTGTTTTTTTTACTAAAAGTAAATTTCATGTTGTTTAATTGCTTTGTCATGTTTTTGCATTCAACTCGTAAACATTATGTTTAACAACNTCTAATTAATTTAAGGGAATTTTTCAAATATTTTACTTATATAGTTTTTTTACACTAAGTTTTGCTTTAGAAAGTTAACGAATTAGCAATATTATTAAAATAAAAAAAAATTTTAACTTTTAATAAATCTTAAAAAATATTGTTTTTTTTACAAAAAGTAAATTTCATGTTGTTTAATTGCTTTGTCATGTTTTTGCATTCAACTCGTAAACATTATGTTTTAGAATGTTTTCGTAGAGAATAAGCCTAATTTATTTAAACCTTTAGTAAGTTTTTATTCAATATTAAAATAATTGAATTTCAAAAGTGAAAGTAGATTGTACATCTATTTTAAAACCACAAGGGTTTTCTTTATAAAGAATCTTTTAAAAATTACATATTTTCATTTTTAGTAGGTGTAATGAAATTAATTCATGTCAAACAACATATCAATTAATACTTGAAAAGTTATATTATTAGTACTATCTGCTAAATAAACTGAATCATTAAAATTCAAAGTGGTATAAAATAAATTAAATCAAATGAATTTTCGCAAAATTCCATCCAAATTTCATGAAAGTATGCTATTAACTCTGTCAAATATTTATTATGTTAATTAAATGGAGTTAATTTTAAATTTTAACAAGAATATAAATTTTTCAGTTGTTGCTATAGAATAAGCCAATTAAAATTAATAAAAAATGTATACAAACCAAATTGTATGATTTATAAAATGTCATAAATTTTGTAATATTTTTTGATAAATGTTAGTAATAAAAAAAAATACAGTTGTAAAGTTAATGTCAAATAATTTTAATATTTATTTTATTATATTTAACAAAGTTAAATAAAATAAAGGTCATAAGACATAAAAAATTAAACTTATTAATTTTTTTTTACTTTTTTAAAGTCGAAAAAGTAATTTTTAAATTTGAGTGAGCTTAAATAGCCAACTTTTTAGCTTTGATGCGAATTTTTTATATGTAAATACTAATTCTTAATAATATTAAAACTTAGAAGTGATAGAAAAAGTCTAATTTCAGATTTGAAAACATCGCGAAAAGTTGATTTAGAATGGCAAATTTATGTTACTGATAAAAGTTCCTTGTAGTTCAGTGCATTTATTTATAGTAACAAACAGTTTTTATTGAAATTTATTGTATCAAGCCCTTTAAATTATTATACTCGTAAAAATAAAGCAAAATAAAACTTCTTTATTATTTTTATAATTTCTCCGTTTAAATTATAATATTAAATTATTGAATATCAATTTCATACTAAATTTAATAATTATAATTAGTATTTATTCATATATTATATTTTTAAATTAAAGAACTACTAATTAGGATATAATCAAAGAAATAAGAGTTGATGTTGCTTTTGGAATAATCCACGAATTTCTCTAAATGAAACACTATCTACAGATTTGCATCGAAGCGTTTCTTATGATAGTGATTTTAATCACTGTCATGTATCATCTATACTTGTTCCATGTATGCCTTGTCTACACTGTGCCTCGACCCTACTGTGCTACCGTTTTTTATTATTTATTGTTAATATAAAAATCTCACTATTTTTTTTTCTGTATTACTGTTAGGCCGCGAAGTCACGTTCTCTCATACAATGTATTTATTGTACTATACATTTATGAAACTTTAATTTTGTTCATCTAAATATTTGAATTTGTCACTCCTACTATTTGCTTCGATTATCTTCAGTATTATTTCCTCAAATACCTGTCCATTGAATTAATTAAATAATCAAACAATTTGTCACCAATTTGTTGTGATAGAGCAATATTTATTATTGCTCTAATATATTTATTACTATTTTTACCATTAGACGTTTTACGGCCGCGAATTCACATATGCCTAAATATAAAAATACTATTAATTTCTGAAGTACTGGTTCAGAAGTTGTTATCTTAACCGGTCACTATTTAAATTAGATCATTTTCTATTTTATGAGTAAGTTAAAAATGTTGTTGCCATCTAAAAAAATAAAGTTTGTACCCTTATAAGAAATAAAGGACGAACCTAAAAAGTATTTAATCATTTATAAATTGAGTCATAAAAAATATTTTTTTAGATTATTACTCTAGGCGAAATTTATTAATCAATGATTAATCAATTACTCTTTAAAGCCCATTAAATGTCATATATATGTTTAGTGATATTTCACTCAATTTTGAATTAACTGTTTTATATATTTATTAAGTTCACACTTTTGTAAAGAATTATTATATTTTTAAATTTAAATTTAAATGTTAAACATAATTTATTGGAGTGCATAACTGATAATATTAAAATAAATTACAACATATAGAGTGATTGATTAACTATGCATCACAAATTTTCTCTGAAAATATAAGAGTTATCTTTTTTTTTATATTAAATATTATGTTTATATATTAGGCTGCGCTCAGTGAATAAAATTACATTTTTATGATCATCCCTTATGCTTTAAATCAGTATCAACTTTCAAATGGTAACCCTATTTTTTTTTATACATAATCAGATTAGATATATTTATATTCATATTTAGTAATATTTTATTCAATTATCAGTAAGCTATAATTATTAAAGTTTAGGCGACGTGAGTATTACTCATATTGATTTATAAAACATGCGCGAATTTTACAGGTAGTTAACCGATAATTGTTACTGGTTCATAGTAATACAGTGATCTGTTGTATAAAGTGCATAGGTATATTCACGTCGCAATACAAATACACCGATCGTTCTTATCTGTACACTAAATATTAATGTTACTGTATTTACCCGACTACTATATTATTTGTTAAAACCTCTAAACTTTAAAGCGGCGACAAATTCAAACAACCGTTTTCAGAAGATGAAACAAATATTTTTAAGACTGCGTCAAATTCATTGATTATTATCATTTTGGTGGACAGATAATAGACAATCTGGTAGTGTGTGATATTCATAAGCATTGTGAACGATTTAAACGCTCTGTCCCTTTTAATTATATAGACTTATGTAAACAACGTTGCCAGTTTGCTTATGAACTTAATTCTAACCCGCGGGACACGAAGAACGCATTTGAATGACAATTGAGTTTATGATCTTTTTCTTCTGTCTTAACATTTGGTCGCCAAGTCACGTTCTCTCATGCAATATAATCATTGTACTATATATTGTACACAAACTGGCAACGTGGTATTTGTAAGCTATAAGAATGATTTCAACGCTTTGTCCCTTTTAATAATACAGATTTATGGGAACAACGTTGCCAGTTTGTTTATAAACATATTTCTGCTCTGCGGGACACAAAAGAACGCAACTGAATGAATATTGAGTAAAATACGATTTTTTCAATCATTGACTTTTTGACTCCGAAGTCACGTTCTCGCATGGAATATATTTATTGTACTATGTATTTCTGACACTTTAATTTGTTCATTCGTATATTTGATTTTGTCGTTCTTATTACTTAATTATTTTAATAATTGTCGCGATTAGTGTGTTCCCTTATATGTTATCAATTTATGTGTAAATGTTAAACTTTAGAATGTCTTTGATGTTTTATACATTCTATTGGTTGTAGCGGTCTACAGCTGTTTAGCACAATGTTTATCATTCAGAATTCGACCCAATATTTCTAATTCTGTTTCATTAGACCTCGTTCTTTGATCCTAGACTATTAGTCTTTCGGTACAATTAAAAATATTAATTATTTTAAGCATCAAAATAAGATAAAATGAGTAGTTTAATGACAAAAGTAAACAGTAAGTATTAATCAATTGTTATATAAATTAACTAAATAGTGTTTAAATTGTTCTAATAAATGTAGCATTAGTCACTGTGGCAAGACCAAACTTGCAAACTTTTGTGAAGTATGCTAAAGTTGAATTAACTCCACCTAAGTTATCCGACTTACCAGAGATAAAAAGTGAAATATCAAAGATTATCCAGACAGCACGTACTGGCCGTTGGAAGAATTTAACCGTAAAGGTAAATTTCTATTTTATTTTTATTTTTGACAGTTTTTAAATTTTTGTGAAAAGTCTTTTTTTTTAGTAAGATTTTTCTTGTATATGAATATCATATTTGGGATTATGAAATCAAAACTCGAAAATAAAAGCCATCTTATTTTACACATGTTGCAAAACTAAAATTTTAAAATGTTTGACTAGTTTTGAGTCATGTAATGGTTCAGTATTTATATAAGAATTATAGCTAGAGAACTCTTCTAAAGATAAAAAATGAATCAGATAGTCTGTGCGATTTAATGTATATTGTAGTTAAATTTGCTTTATGTCTTATTTAGAAATTGACAATGTGTTACTCAATATAAATAAAGAGCAGTATTGCTCTTAAAACTAGGCATAAAATTTATCAACTAAAGAAAGAGCAAACTTGGTCTCTACATTGATAAACAAATTTTTTGGGTGTAGGTGTTTGAAATGTGGCTATTTTTCACAATTAACTTTTTAAAACCAATAGTATTTATATATTAGACTTTAAATAAAACAGTTTATTTCTATGAGTATATGCAATTTTTTTCGGTTTAATAATTTTTAAGGTTTTTTTTTCAAAACATCATTAGTAAATGTATCATAAAAAGATAGCGTGGAACATGTTTTTTTCAAATTGAATATTTTACAGAATATAAACTTATTTTAAACATTTTATAAATCTGGTAATTAATGAAATAATATATTTTTTAATATATATTAAATAAAGATTATGAATTTATAGGTACTAGGATTTGATTGTATTCCGCTGAGCTGCATAGGTTTTGCTGTATTTGCTGTCATATAAACATAAAAATTAAACTTGTCTATACACAAACATGTATATATAAATTTTAATAGTCATATTTCATTTGTTTATTATAGGAAGCCACTGTAAAATCACTCGTAGCTGTTGAAGTACTGATGTGGTTCTATGTTGGTGAAGTTATTGGCAAGAGAAGTTTGATTGGCTATGATATTAAGTTATAAATTAATATTTGCTGTTGTTGTTTAATTTGTATTATTTAAAAGATATTACACGTTTTGTGTAATTAAAAATATGGTTTTGTAGCCTTTTATTAGGTATATTCATTTTTTATTTAATGCTTGGCCAAATATATCAAAAGTTTTCAGATATACATAGTAAATAATACATAAATCATTATTAGTTTGGTTTCCTTTATGTAATACATCAAGCTTTTATGTGTAAAAACCAGTAAAACTGTTATTAAAAGTTTGTATATATCTTAGAGTTTCTTATTTAATACATCTTATTTATTATACATTTAATACTATTCAAAAATAGATTTAAGAAACGTTTAAACAAGTCTAATGAAAAATGTTTATTTTAATATGTTATAAAACTTTTAAAATATGAGTTAAAATGAACCAGGATTGCAAGGTTTATATATAATAGTGAAAATGTTTCAACAAATAATACATTTTGTAGGTTACTTAATTTATTGCCCTTTCAACATTTTAAAGGGAATAAACTCTTGGATTTTATAGCCTTATTGATATCTTTAAAATATTTTAAAAGAATTATCGGTTTTATTTTCTGAATTTTAAGAGGTCTTATTTTTGTATTATTTTGTAAAACAGTTGTGTTCGATCTCAAAAACTAAAAGCCGAATTTCATTAAAATTTTCAATTTTATATAAATAAAATTTCAGTAGAAATACCTAATTAACGCTGATTAATGTACAACGTACTCAATAAATACATCGACAAATTTATATAACATTTATATTTCTCAGTACCACTACTACGGATATGTTAATTAGATCCAAAGTACAGTGATATCAATAATTATTTAAACTCTTTGGTAAATTAAGCAGTGTTACCAATTTGTAATTGCGATGTTATATCGCTACCCGGAATCTAGTGCGTGACAACATAACCAATAAGTTAAATTTTTACTTTTTGACTCATTGGTTATCTGGAAATGGGAGCCACATTTTAAGTTAGCTCTTTTCACAAGAACTCTGCTTGACTTTAAGTTTTCATTATTTGTTGATATTATTTTAAGGTAAGTACTCTCATTTTAGTGTAATTTATTTAAAATTTAAATTACCAAGCGTGTTTCTTAATAGATTTTAGTAATCATAAGTTTTTAATGATGCTATAACGTGTGATTTTTATTATTCATTATTTATCTCATGTTTAGTTTAAATGGCTGAAAGTCGAGGCAATTTTCGAGGTGGTTTTGGTCGAGGAGGTTCACGAGGCAGAGGTCGCGGCCGTGGACGTGGTCGTGGAAGAGGTAAAGAAGCAGAGAAGGAATGGGTTCCAGTTACAAAACTTGGTCGTTTGGTCAAAGATGGAAAAATAGCTTCTTTGGAAGAGATCTACTTATTTTCTCTACCCATTAAAGTAAGATATGTCTCATAATTTATAATACTCTAAAAGACTAAAACAATTAAGGTGTTTTATTATCAAATTGTAACTGCTTATTAACAATCTGTTCTTATTGTACTCTATCAATTTTTGTAGGAATTTGAAATTGTTGACTTCTTTATTGGCTCATCTCTAAATGACGAGGTACTAAAAATCATGCCTGTTCAGAAGCAAACTCGTGCTGGTCAACGTACTAGATTCAAGGCTTTTGTTGGTATGTAATTTAGTTTGAAAATGAAAGAGTTATATTAAAATATCATCGTTGTCATCATCCAAAATATCAGCGTATTTAATATTACCACCTTTTGTTTATTATAATATTAAAAATGACTTTGTTATATTAGTCAAAATCCCTATGAACTAGTAAATTTCTTAAAAAAAAAGTATTACTTTAAGTGTTACTTAAAAAAGTGTGATCCATTTTTATTTTGAAGATAAAATTATATTATTGGGATAACATTTCAAACTTGTAATTTATTACATTTTACAGTATTATAGGTAAGTTTATTTAAAATAATTCATTCATTTGCTATCACAAAATTCAAAAAAAGTTTCTTTACTAACCCAAATTTTTGAAAATCATTTTAAATAGTGTTTGTACCTTAATTTTATTTACTCAACTATTATTTTTAATTAAACATAATTATTAAAAAATCATTTGTTTAAAACTAGTGTTTTTATCAAACTTATTCAATTTTTGTATTTTAAGACTGTAATACATAATTTTAGCTTCGATGCGAAGCTGAGAAGGTATTGGTTTTTAGTTATTATCGAGGTGGACATAATGCCCATGCACTCAAACCTGTTGGTCAATTGTGCGCAAAGTATTGGTTTTACTATGATGTGTTTTTTTTTTAATGTCTTCCCACTTTTTCTCAGCTCTCACCGAACGGATTTCTTTCAACGATACATCAAAAGATCAAAAATCGTATTTAGTCAAAGACATTACCCTCAAAAATTGAAAAAATTTCCCTCGTTCCCCGTAAATGGGGTAAACCTCCAAAAAAGTTACAAATTTAAAAATTGCTAATTTTCAACATTTTTTTAAATTTTTTTTTCTTAAAACTGCCATAACTTTTTCAAAAATGAACGAATCAATATAATTTTTTGTTTTTTATATATATTTGATGTCTTGACCTATCATTTGGTATATTTTTTTTATAAATCTAACTCTTTATCTGCCCACAGGGGGAGTTTAAAATGACAACTTATTCACAAAAAATTAACTTTTGAAAGTGTTTCAGAAAGTCTGACACTTTTATATATATCTTAAATTAAAGATTATGTAATGTACTTTATTATGAAAAAAAAAAATCGGACTTTATTTTGTCTTTACGGTGAAAATGGCTATTAAATGCTATTTTTGTATGTAAATTCTCGATTTTATTTTTACATTTCTAACTTTATAATGCTATAACATATTGAAAAGTGTATGGATCAATACAAATTTTTTATGAGAAATAATATTTTTTAATAATCACTTTTTCATTCGATATACTTTATCTTAATCAGGATATTAATAAGGAACTAGCAGATCATGTAGCTTTTGGAATAATCCACCAATTTTTTAAAATTAAACATTATCTAAAGATTTGTATCAAAGTGTTTTTTTTTATAGTGATTTTAATCACTGTCAGATATCATTATACTTGATCTAACTATACCACGTCACCACTGTGCCGAGACCCCTCTGTGCTGGTTTTTTTTTAATATATATGTATTTTAGCTATTGGAGATTCAAATGGACATATTGGATTGGGTGTTAAATGCTCAAAAGAAGTTGCTACAGCTATTCGTGGTGCTATTATATTAGCTAAATTATCAGTTGTTCCTGTCCGTCGAGGATATTGGGGTAACAAAATAGGAAAACCACATACTGTACCTTGCAAAGTAAAAATTATAAATAACTTTTTTGTCACATGTTCTTTGTTATAATATGTAATTGTTTTTTTTTTTAGGTCACTGGTAAGTGTGGATCAGTTGCTGTACGTTTAATTCCAGCACCAAGAGGAACAGGTATTGTAAGTGCTCCTGTTCCAAAAAAATTATTGCAAATGGCTGGTATTGAAGATTGTTATACATCAGCCCGTGGATCTACTGGAACCCTTGGAAATTTTGGTTTGTTTTGTACAATAATAAAAAATTATTATTATTACATACTGTTGTTTTTAATAAAATTTCAGCCAAGGCCACTTATGCTGCTATTGCTAAGACATATGCTTATTTAACACCAGATTTATGGAAAGATGTACCTTTGAAGAAGACTCCATATTCCGAATTTGCGGATCATTTATCTAAATGCCACAAAGTCGTCCAAAATGTCAGAGATTAATTTTGTACTTGTTTATGACATAGTTCTAGACAGCTTATATTGTTGTTTAGTGTCTAATAAAACAATTAAAATCTGATTTTTGACTAATTTTTTTAATTAAAAATAAACCATCAACTTATTAATTTATTTATTAATATTTTATTATTATTTATTAAATATTAATAATACTTAACAATTATTAATTATTTAACATTTATTGATGAATTGGTAAATTTTAAAAAATGTATTAGTTTTCTTTCTATTATTTAGGAGGAAAAAAGTTTTATATGGAGGTAGAGGAGTTTTCAAACCTCAAAATTAATTCTTGGTTATATGTTTTTATAATAATATTTATACTTCTTCCTCGCCTTAATTCCAACTACTTGGGGTCGGCCACCCTTATCCTAAACTTTCACTTGACACGATCTCCCACATCATTTACGCTCACATCAGCTGTCCTCAAATCGCATTTATATGCATCCCTCCATCTCTTTTTAGTCTTCCTCTACCTCTTCTTTCAACAATCATTTCAATAACTGTTCTTGCAGCTTCCGATTCTTCTCTCCTCATAACATGTCCAAACCATTTAAGTTTATTTTCTCTCATCTTATCCACGATTGACGCTACACCTATACTCCCTCTTATATACCCGTTCCTTATTCTCTTTTCTAGTCGTTTCACCCATCCATCTAAGCATTCTCATCTCTCCTACACTCATTCTCTGCTCTACTTTCTTATCAACCGCCCAACACTGAACCATACATCATAGCTGGCCTTATAACAGTCTTGTAGAATTTACCTTTCAGCCTCATTGGAATTCTCTTATCACATAACACACAAGATGCTTCTCTTCACTTCAACCACCCGCATTTAAATCTGTGTCTTACATCCTCGTCAATACCACCGCTCTTTTGCACAACTGACCCTAAATACTTAAAACTCTCCACCTCTCCACCTCTCCTATCACGTGCTCTCCTATTGTCACTGACCTCATTTCACCTACCTCGTGTTCTCCTTTGTCAAACTCGTACTCTATATACTCCGTATTACTTCTACTTATTCTTAAACCTTTTTCTTTAAGAGCTGATCTCCATACCTCTAGCCTTTGATTAATTTTCTCCTATTAACACTATATCGTCAGCAAACAGCATGAACCACGGCATTTCTTGTATTTCCCTAGTAATTTCATCCATCACTATAGAGAATAAGTAAGGGCTTAAAGCAGAACCTTGGTGCACTCCTACTCTTACCCGTAAACCTGATATTTCTCCTACGCTTTTTTTTCTGGTACAAGTGCCATCATATATATCTTCTATTATATTAAAGTACCTATTCGGGACTCCTTTTCTCATTAATGCCCACTTTAAAACCTCTCTCGGTACTCTGTCATACGTTTTCTCCGAATCTATAAATACCATACACAGCTTTTTCTTCTTTTCCCTAAACTTTTCTATTAATTGTCTCACACAAAATACTGGCTCCATTGTTGACTTACCAGGCATAAATCCAAACTGGTTTATAGATATCCATGTCTCATTCCTTACTTTCTTATCTATTACTTTTTCCTAAATTTTCATTTTATGACATAAGCTTTATGCCTCTATAATTTCCACACTTCTGTATGTCTCCTTACCTTTAAGTATCGACACCACAATACTATTCTTCCATTTATTTGGTATTTTCCCTTCTAATAAGATTTTATTTAAAAGTTCTTTCAACCACCTAATGCCAACACCGCCTAATATTTTCCATACTTCTACTGGCACTTCATCTGGTCCTACTGTTTTATTCTTTTTCATTGATGCCACAGCCTCCCATACCTCTTTCTCACTAATTAAATCTAACAGTCCCTCATTCCACGAGATATCCTCTAATGACACGTCAAAAGATCTTAAATCGTATCTAAACATTATTCTCAAAAATTGAAAAAATTTTCCCTCGTTCACCGTAAATGGAAATCTCCAAAAAAATTACAAATTTAAATTCTAATTTTCGACATTTTTTCAATTTTAGCTTCGATGCGAAGCTGAAAAGGTATTAATTTTACCATGTTTTTATTTAAAACTGCCATAACTTTTTAAAAATGGTCAAATCAATTTTTTATAGATGCATGATGTCTTTACCTATCATTATGTATATTTTTTTTTATAAATCTAACTCTTTACCTGCACACAAGAGGGGGATTTAAAATGACAACTTTTTCACAAAAAATTAACTTTTGAAAGTGTTTCGGAAATACTGACACTTATATATATACCTTTAATTAAAGCTTGTGTAACATACTTTATTATGGTAAAAAAGAATTCGAACTTTATTTTGTCATCATGGTGAAAATGGCTACCATAAGCTATTTTTGTGTTAAAATTCTCGATTTTATATTTTTAACTTTCTAATGCTATAACTTTTTGAAAAATGTATGGACCAATACAATTTTTTTATGAGAAAGAATATTTATATACTTCTTTCATTCCACATACTTTTTTTTTTAATCGGACAATTGCCCTTAATAAAGGGGGGGGGTTCAAAACTTTAAAATGCATAAAGAAACTTTTTCAACTTAATTTTTGAAAGTGTTACGGAAATACTGACACTTTTATATATATCTGAAATTAAAGCTTATACAATATACTTAATTATTGAAAAAAAAAATTCGGACTTTATTATGTTTTCATAATGAAAACGGATTTCAAAGTTAATAAAAAAAATAAGATTTTTGTAAAAAAATTGTTTTTTATATTTTTAATTTTATAATGCTATAACTTTTTGAAAAATATATGGATCAATACAATTATTTTATGATAAATACTATTTATATATACCTCTTTTATTTGACATACTTTTTTTAAAATAAAACCATTTCATTTATATATTTATATTTTATAAATATATATATATTTACTCATATATTACACTTATAAATCTTAAAACTTGTAATCAGGATATAAATAAGTAAATAGGAGATTATGGAGCTTTCGGAATAATCCACAAGTTTTTTTAAATTAATTACTATCTATAGATTTGCATCGAAACGTTTTTTATGATAGTGATTTTAATTACTGTCAGATATCATTATACTTGACCCAACTATGCCACGTCCCCACTGTGCTGGGTTTTTTTTTTATCAATAAATATAACCTTTATGAAAATTTTCATTGGAATATAATGTACTAATAAAAGAACCGTTTTCAAAAAAAAGTTTTATCGTGAATAAATTTTTTTGTTATAATTAATGGAAAATGTACATATTTTTTTAAATAAATTGATCTTAAAGAAAAAAGGTTAGATAGAGGCTTCCAAATTTCCAATCTTAATATAGGTTTAAAATGAAATCTATATTAAATATATTAATTTAATACATATTTTATTTTAAATAATATTAGCCACAAGTGATCAATTTCTATTATTTAATAATAGGTGTTCTCCATTTAAACGCTTTATCTTTATAAATCATTGAAAATAATTACTTATGGAAGAATATTTAACGGAATCCTCGTTGCCCGATAATAATAATTTTGTAAACTTTAAAGTTCTATAACTATTTTTGACCGATATTTTATTTTTGAATATTTGTAATCAGAAAAAAAAAACAAATAGTGTGGGAACTTAATGGTTGTTGTTCCTTATATTTAAATCTGAAAATGCCTTGGTCAGTGCAGTCGGCATTACTGTTTCTGACGTTTAATAAATCATTCAATATTCTTTTAAAAGTTTTGCTTTTTAAAATTTCTGGAATTTAAACCGAATAATCCATTAGTACTTTGAGTTTTCATAATTTTTTGTTTATTGTTTAACAACCGAATAGAAAAAAAACCCAGAGATTTTTTTTTGTAAAACAAATAATGAATAGTCGTCGACTTAAGCAAGGTCAAGTGTTAAGGATGGAATTATATTTGTTGAAATACTCCAATGTTATAATAACAGATATCAAAAAAAAAAGTTTGAATTAATTACATAAACCCAGTACACTTAAATCTAAATAAAATGTTCTTATTAATTTAACTTTTCTTGTAATTGTCGATATCAATGTCAAAACTAGACCATTGAAGTGATGGACACAATACTACATTACTTACTAGATGAGTTAAAATTTTTGTAATTTAGTGACGAGTTCTCTTTTTCATAAGTATCCATTTTCATATTTCTAACTTGTAAAACAATTCTAGATGGTTTGAAATTAATAATAAAAAAAAGTTAAAAATAATATTATAAAACTTTATAAGTTTTATTTGTTACGCCTATGAATATATGATAAATTGTGTCTTCTTCTTTTTCGTCGCTTTAATCCCTATTACTTGGAGTCGGCCGTCCTTATCCTAAAACTTCCACTTGACACGAACTCCCACACAGCCATCCTCATATCGCATTCAATAACATCCCTCCATTTCTTTATTGGTCTTCCTTCAACATTCTTTCTAAAACTGTTTTACAGCTTCTCCACATAACATGACCAAATCTTCTAATCATAATAGAATATAATTATACTATTTATAAATAAATATATGATAATAAAGTAATATATCAAAATAAATATATATAAGCGAATAATTTATTTATAATAAATAAATAACAATTTATTTTAGAACGATTAAATTATAATAAAACTTTAACAACCATAATGAAAATATCCTTTTTCTTTTTCCTCGCCATTATCCCCTCGCTACTTGAGGTTGTCTATTCTTATCCTAAAGTTCCACTTGACACGATCTCCCATATCATCTACGAACAACAGCCGTCCTCATATCGCATTCAATAACATCCCTCCATCACTTCATTGGTTTTCCTCTATCACTTCTTTATTCAACATTCAACTGTTCTTGCAACTTCCAATTTTTAACTCCTCATAAAATGCTCCCCGAACCATCTTAGTCTATTTTCTTTCATCTTATCAACAATTGATACTATACCTATATTCCCTCTTATACGTTCGTTCCTTATCCTATCACTCAATTGTCTAAGCATTCATTTCTGTGCTCCATTCTCTTGTTAACCGCCCATCACTCTGAACTATACATCATAGCTAGTCTCGCTACAGACTTATAGAATTTATCTTTCAGCTTCATTGGAATTCTCTTATCACATAACACACAAGATGCTTCTCTTCACTTCAACCAAAGTTAATCTTGTGTCTTATGTTCTTTTCAATACAACCGTTCTTTTGCACAACTGATCCTAAATACTTAAAACTTTCCACCTCTCCTAGCACGTTCTCACTTATTGTCACTGATCTTATTATTTCAACAACCTCGTGTTCTCCATGTCAAACTCGTACTCTAAATACACTGTCTTACTTCTACTTATTCTTAATCACATTCATTTAAGAGCATCTCCACACCTCTAGCATTTGATTAATTTCTTCCTATCTTCTCTTACTAACACTATGTCGTCATCGAACAACATGCATCACGGTAAATCTTCTTGTAGAAAACTAATTAAATCAATTTCATACAACTCTATATAAATTGTAGTTATAATTAAATTTATTTGGTGAAGTAATCAAATAATGTAAGTAGCAATTGTCTCTATGGCATTTCACAGATAATTCTTGAATTTACTGTATTCCCAATTATTATTAATAATGTCATTATTGTTGTAAAAATTTTTTTCAGATTTAATTCTATTGACACAGCCTGTTTTGGGTTTTTTGAACTTACATTAACTGAATGAAAATGTCTTCAGTCTGTATTTATTACATGAGAGGAACTTGTCGATTTGGTGACCGATGTTGGAATTCTCATGATCTCGACTCTGCACGGTCTGAAAGAGAAAGCCCACGTAAGATATTTAACAAAGTTTCCAAGATAGAAAACAACAGTAATATTTGTATTTTTTTTTTCTGATGCCTGATATAATTATGAGAGATAAAGGTGTTAGTTACTATTTTGATGTGTATTTTTAAAACAACATTTCAGTTTAACTACTACATATATATGTTATAGAATACTGTTACTAAAAATGTATACAGTCAATAATATTTCCTAATATTTTTTTAATTCAGAACATACTAGTCTTTTGTTTATTAATCTTATTTTTTTTAACATGTCTTTAAAGATCTTATGCTAGAATTGTATTTTAAAACACTAATTAGAAATAATTGATCAACATAGGTTGATCGGTTTATCACAAACCACTTCATTACTCAAAATAAATACAATGTTGAAAAAATAATTTTAATATTTTTTAGTTCCATATATTTCTTGATTTATCAATTAATAATTACATTTAGAATCATCCCGTATAACTTTAAGGGCAGTCAACTATAATACAGGTTTAACGGTTTATCACAAACCACTTCATTACTCTGATAATCTCAAATCATTTTTAGTTAAAATTTGGTGAGATCTAAAAAAAAATGAACAACATTTTACAAAAAATATGATAAAGCAATACTAAAAAATCTAATGTTTATTTTATTAATACGGCATTACTAAAAGTTAATTTTAATAAACATTTTAATTTCATTTATTTATTATGTGATTTAAAATTTTTTTTAAAAGGTTCTGAATAACATTGATGGAATTTTAACCGGATCATCCATTAGTATTTTCAGTTTTCATAATTTGTGGTCTACTGTTTACCAATTGAATAGAATAAAACTGGGAAATTTTTTTTGTTAAACAAATAATGTATAATCGTCGAATAAAGTAAGGCTGAGTGTTAAGGATGGAACACTTCCCCACAAAAACAATTTTTCTTACAATTGATTACATTTTAAAGGTGAGCTATAAATAAACAAATTTTGGTTCACACAATGAAGAGGTGCGGCCTTGAAAGTATGTAGTTGACGTACAACAAATCATATCCTAAACTTGGGTAAATAAAAATAACTGTTTAGTATTTGTTGAAATACTCCAATGTTATAATAACACATATCAAAATAAAAAAGTTCAAATTAATAACATAAATCGAGTGTACTTAAATCTCAATAAAACGTTCTTGTTTATTTAACTTTTCTTGTAAGTTTCAATATTAATGTTAAAATTAGATATTGACTCCGTTCAAAAAATTTTTGAATTGCAATTATGAATATCTTTTATAAACTGGTGATCTAGTGAAATTATAATTTAATCCCCCGCCTGAAAAGGGATACCAAGAAAATAGTTATTTCACTGCACTCAAAATTTTTTGAAAATATTTTTATCATTATTTTAGCTTACATAAAATTCTTACATTATAGTAACTATAATTTTAACTATTGTTGTTAAAATTAATGATTTTGTGACATAATTGTGGAATCCTGTTTGGTCAAGTTTGCGCTCATTATCCAGAAAGAGTCCAAAATATTAAATCACGTCATAGCCATAGTTTCATTTAAATGAATGGGGAATAAATTCATGGACACAACAGTACATTACTTACTAGATGGGTTATTATTTTTGAAATTTTAGTGAGTTTTTGTGAATAATTTTCATTTTTTAAATTTATAACCCATAAAACTATTCTAGATAGTTTGCACATAATAGTTACTTTCACATATTTTTTGAAAAATAATACTATAAAACTTAAAATTAAAAAAAAATTATTTTAACTGATACTGTATATATTAGTTGTGTCTATGAATATATGATAATAGAGTAATATATAAAAATGTCAAAAGAGCATATAATATATTTATAATAAATAAATAACAATAATTTCATTATGTACAAATAACCTTCTCTTAAAATTAACAAAAATATACTCATGGGCGCAATGTGGGGGTCAGTCTAGAAGGGTCTAAACTCCCAAAAATTATGAAAATTACAAATTAATCATAAAGAAATATTTTTAAAACGAGGAGAAAATAAAATAGATCTCCCAAACATTTTGTTCAAATTACGCCTATGAACATTTAAAAAAAAAGATTCTATTTATAAAATAATATAATTTTACTAAAAATACAATGTATTCCTAGATTATTTTAAAGAGGAATGTTTAAATTATTAATTCAGAGAATTAATATAAGTCAAGAAAAAATATATTTTCTATCTGAAAAACTAAGTAAAATATAAAAAATAGGTTTTCAGGCAACGTCAAAAATATACAAATAATGCCATGGTATTTAATAAGTGATGCATTTGAGCAACACGTACAATCTAATAATTATTACAGAGGAGTATAATGTTTGTATAATATCAGCCAAAATATAATACATTTTTACACAAAAATTATTTGACTTATAATCTAAATATTAGGTTTATCTAGGTCATGAAATCTGCTAATACAGATAATGTTTATGGTAGTTAAATAATACTAGTGAAATAGGTACTATTTCACACAGCAATACTCAAATGATCTTCGGGTCTGTTATCCAAGAAAGAGATATCTGAAACATGTAGAATAATGGTAAATGTTTACCATGATTATATGGTCTTAATAAGTTTGAATTTGAATTAAACTAGTGCTGATTAACAATTGCAAAAAAAATTATAAAGGAAGTTTCTAGAACATAAAATTTTTACTATTGTACTAAGCGTAATAACAACATTATCAACAGCTTACAGGTGAATAAAAAAAGGGTTTAATTTTTTAATCCAAGTATATATTTTTGACTCTTCAAACTTATATTAATATTTTAATTATTTAGGCAAAATTTATACAATTTTGTTATTTTATTTCTTAAAAAAAATAAATGATAAATCAAATTATAATATTTTTATAATAAACCTATGACTCAGAGTTACTATTGAATAATTATATTAAATTAAAAAAAGATAATAAAAAATTATTAAGTGTAGGAAACAGGTGTTGCTAATCACAGAAAAATAAAAATGTTCACAAATAATAAATAATATACTTTAATATAAACCTTACAATTAAGTATCATCATGAACTCAAACATTAATAAATAACCCACTTAAATTTAAATAATATTCGAAATTAATATTAAATATAAGAATATTATTATAGTATAAATATTAAGTAAAATTAGTTGCATATTATGGCTCCTATAAAGATTTTTAAATAAATAACTTTCCCAAAATATGAATGAAAATAAAATAGGAAATATATATATATATACAATTCTTATGAAAACGTTATTTTGTTTTAACAATAAATAATTTAAATAGAATAGTAACGAAGGGTTCTGTAGCCCAACTATTACATAGAATACTATTAACTATTAATAAATAATAATATTATTATACACCACAAAAGAAAAAAATAATAAAAATTAAGACATAAATAAACAAAATAAATGTAAATTGAATATATTTATTGGTTGTCCCAAAACAAAGCATATTTGAAAAAAATGACTAAGATTAGCAAATATTGGGATGATAAAAAGCGGTTAGATCTACCAATCGTCAGGTTCTTCCATTAGGGCTAAAGGGCAGTTGGCAGACGAATGTCCCATATTGTCACAATAAGAGCAAAAACGGTACTCATATTCATTAAGACTGATAACCGGAAAAAAAATAAATAGGATAAGGTTATTAAATTTAATTCATCAAAAGAAATTAAATAAAACATTTAATTTAATTTATAAAAATAAACAACTATTTAAATTTATAAATGTGTAACAATTTGATGATTCCATTTCTCAATAGAACAAGCAACATTGCACATAATAAATATACAATAAAAACAATAAGCCTATTATTTTTACTTAAATTAGATTTATTAATCAAATAATTTTTATAATTATAGCCTAATGCCCTCAAGCCAATCTTAATAAGCTATATTAGATCATTTTTACATCTTATAAGTTAAAATTTTTACTAATATTTATCATGAATGCTAATACAAAATATTTAATTAGCAATTATTTTAGAAAAACATTTTTTATATTTTTAAAAGACTTAGTTTGTATAAGTTTGCGGTTTTTGTTAAATAATATATAATAAACTTTTTGATACTATGTATATCTAAAATTTTATCACTATTTAAACATTTATTTAATATAGTTAGAATCTTAAGCACACTTAATTGGGACATATTTAAATTTATATATTTTTCTATAATTAGTGTCAATTTTGTTATCACATAAAATTTCAAGATTAATTTTTAAGGTTATCCTTTATTTAACAAAAATATTTGATTTAAAAAATATTTCATTTGCTCAAATATAAATATATCTATCTAGTTAAAACTTGGTGAGATCTAAAAACGTTAGGGGGACATATATGTATCATGAGTTCTCATAAACAACAATTTATAGATAAAATGATAAAGCATTACAAAAAAGTCAAATTTTTATTTAATTATTACTTNAAAATCAATATAATTGGTTTAAAAACATTTACATTTTATAAATTTATAGTTGAATAACTAGGTAAATTACACAATTGAAACCAAATTATGAATGACTTGGATTAACAAAACAAAAATCACATTTAAAAATAGTAAAGCAGCAAAAATTTCAGCTATAAAAAAATAGATATCAGTATTAATATGACCAATGAAATAAGCGTAAAAAATTTATTAAGCTCAAAAATGAAAAACTTTATCACAACCAAAAATCAGATTCCGCAATTAATTACAGTTAGTAAATTAAAAACATATATATTTTTGTTAATTAAGCATTGAGTGAATTGCTAATGAAAAATTGAAATAACAATAAGTATATACAATATTATGTAAAAACAAAAAAATTAAAATAATAATTATTATTTACTACAAAAGAAGTTATAAATAAATAAAATAATACTAAATGTTTTAATTATTTAAAATACTTCGACTTTAGTAGTAATCATTAAAAAACGTGAACATATAATATTAAGTTAGTTGAATTAAAATTATTATTGGAAATTTTCTATTAGTAAATTTTATAATATAAAATATAGTATAATCAAATATAGTTAATAATAATACTGTATATTTCTAGTTTATAGTAAAGAATAACTAGTGATAAACTAATCTAATTATTTTTGTAATTCAAATTATACTTCATAACAGGAACAATATGTTACAAACGAGATCCATTAATACAACATAATATACTATTGTGTAAGTTTAAGTAAAATTTTAAAATATATAATAAGTTATTTACAAAAATTAAAATTTTCGAGAAAAAATTCACTCAGTCGTACAGGCAATAATAACTATTAAAACTTATCAAGGTAATAATGGAAATTTTTATGTAGAAACTGTATTAGACTATTAAAGTTATACAAGCTATTTTCTAATAAACACCATAATTTTAACTATTTAACCAAAATAAAATTTTATTTAAAATCAACTTAAATTAAATTATGTCTCTTTTAATATTGATTAATTAAAATAAAATTCAAACAAAAAAATATATATATTTTGACACACATAAAGAATAACATAACTACACAAGTTACCCACTTGATGAATGAATTAATTTATGTAATATAAATTGTAGTACCTGTCTAAACTGCTGTCAGACAAATTGTCATCCCATTCAGTTTCATCCCTATCATTTCTATTTCTACTTCCTAAAACATCACCTAATCGAATTGGATCAAACAATGCTTCTTCTAATGCTATATTCCAATCAGCACCTTCTCTACTCCGTTCTCCCCAAAGCATATTTAATGTTCGTCGAACAGATTGACCACGATTACGACGTCTGTTATTGGTTCTTCTATTCCTATTTCCTTCTATAGTAGAAAAATTGAACTAAATAATAAAACGACTTTAATGTTAAACCATAGATTATTTACCTCTAATATTACTTCTTTCTACTTTTAAAGTTTCTCTTCTTTGTTTTACTTCTTCGGGTAAATGATCAGAGATTTTGTCTAAAAAGCTATCTAAAGTTAAGCAGTGTGATTTGCTTCTAACATATACGCGACAGGTAGGACAATGGTTTACACGCCTAGTCCATGATTCTATACACTCATGACAGAATGTATGAGAGCAATTTAAAACTGTAGGCTAAAATAATATACAGTTTGAATACAACTCAGGTTAATTTTTCAAAAAATTATACAGATATATATAATTTTTTAAGGAAAAATTATACCTTGATAAATATTTCGTAACAAATATTACACTGCAGGTCACTTTCAATGGCTTGTTCTAATTGATGTTCTATCCAGGAAAAATTATCGCCATCATCTTTATTACGTAATTGTTGTCGTAGAGTCCTTACTTCATTTTCAGACTCATTTAATTTTTTAACAGCTTCAACTAGCATACTATCAGGTGTACCTTCTCTAGTTTCTCCGGAATCTTTATCTAATTAAATAATTAATATACAGTTATAAACAATTTAAATTATGATAGTAATTATAATTGATTGTTATTTTACTTGACAAAGACCAAACACTTGATTTCCCAGTATTTTCAAGATTATTTTGGTTTCGTTGAAATCTTTATCAAAACAAATTATAAAATATTACAAAAAATATAATTAGACACCATACAAATTTAATGAAAAAAAAATGTATGCTTTTACTTACTTTTGAGCCGAGTCCAAACGTCTAGGCCTAGGCCTAGGAACACTACTGGCATGTGAAGCTACAGGACTAGAAACATGCTCTTCTCTATCATCAGATGAACTGTTAACTAAAATTATAACATATATCAAATTATTATATTTTAAATAATTGATTATAGTAAAGATTTTTTTTAAAGATTTTTTTTTACATTTTTAGGAATATTTATGGGTGTTAAAAGGTTTGTATATTTTCAATTGTAATTAAACAGATAACTAAAGATTATTATAGTTTTTTTATTTAACATGTAACATGATAGATATCTTACTCATTGTAAGTTATATATCGAGTTTCTTTAAATTTAATACAAAAAAATTGAAGTTGACTGCCCTTAAAGTTATACGGGATGATTCTAAATGTAATTATTAATTGATAAATCAAGAAATATATGGAACTAAAAAATATTAAAATTATTTTTTCAACATTGTATTTATTTTGAGTAATGAAGTGGTTTGTGATAAACCGATCAACCTATGTTGATCAATTATTTCTAATTAGTGTTTTAAAATACAATTCTAGCATAAGATCTTTAAAGACATGTTAAAAAAAATAAGATTAATAAACAAAAGACTAGTATGTTCTCAATTAAAAAAATATTGGGAAATATTATTGACTGTATACATTTTTAGTAACAGTATTCTATAACATATATATGTAGTAGTTAAACTGAAATGTTGTTTTAAAAATACACATCAAAATAGTAACTAACACCTTTATCTCTCATAATTATATCAGGCATCAGAAAAAAAAAATACAAATATTACTGTTGTTTTCTATCTTGGAAACTTTGTTAAATATCTTACGTGGGCTTTCTCTTTCAGACCGTGCAGAGTCGAGATCATGAGAATTCCAACATCGGTCACCAAATCGACAAGTTCCTCTCATGTAATAAATACAGACTGAAGACATTTTCATTCAGTTAATGTAAGTTCAAAAAACCCAAAACAGGCTGTGTCAATAGAATTAAATCTGAAAAAATTTTTTACAACAATAATGACATTATTAATAATAATTGGGAATACAGTAAATTCAAGAATTATCTGTGAAATGCCATAGAGACAATTGCTACTTACATGTGTTTGATTACTTCACTAAATAAATTTAACTAAAACTACCAATCATATGATTTTTTGGTCGGATTTAAAAATAGAAGAACGTTCAATATATTAAGTCCGTGTACTACGGAGATTTTTCTCGGCACTTTATTAAACGTGCAAATAATGAGTGCAATTTATGGGACGAAAACGACAAGCATTTTAATGTAAGTTAGTAGATTCGGTAGGACAGTAATTTGCTGTACCGGAATGTGGGGTAGACATTCATAGTAAGTGTTACCAATATGAGATAAACATTATCTTATTAATATAATATTAACTCACTGTCAAGTAGTTATGAAGTGATTAGATTGATTTCTAATGTGATACGAGACTGAATAAAATCATTGAGTAGTCTATGAATAAAATATTTACTAATAACACTTTTAAAACATTTTAATAAATTTTTAGTCGTGGTGTTTATGTTAAATTAATTGTTCTTCCCAATATGAGTTATTAAAACAAAATTTTAATTTAAATATGTTCATTATTTTGAAATTGTTTTAGGATGGCTTAATGTTGGTCTTATGTTTTTTTTCTAAGCATGGAAGTAGATACTACAAAACAAGATCCTATAGACTCACCATGTAAAATTAATCAGATAAAGAAGCTGGATGATATCAATAGTAATGTTCAAGAAGAGACTTGTTTAGTTGATGAAGGTCAGAAAGTTGAATCGTCATGTGTTAATGGTAAAAAATTGGATGAGTTTATGTGGCAACAAAAAGATGAACTTGACTATTTTAAAAGACAATTAGCCGTAAGTGAGCATAAATATTTAACTGATATAAGTAAATTAAAATCACAAATACAATCATTAAGTAAGGTATATGAGACAGCCAAAAATGAAAAAGAATCAGCATTTATGCGATATGTATTGAAAGAAAAAGAAATATTAGATTTGAATAATGAGAAAAAAAAGTTGCTTGATGGTATTAAGGAAAAAGAGAAACAAATTGTAAAATTAAAAACCAATAATAGAGAAGCAACAGATTTTTTGAATACTATTGAAATAAAAAACAAAGAGCTAAAAGAAACAAAAATTTGTATTGAAATTTTGAAAGAAGAGAAATTAAAAATATTAAAAGACTTGGAATGTTGGAAAATTAAACATGAGCAAATTACAAAAACTTCTCAAGAAAGTGAAAGTAAGTTAAAACATGAAATAGAAACTTTACAAGTTAAATTAGAGGCATTGACCAAAGAAAATGAAGCATTTAATCAAGAAAGTAATTTAGAAAAACTAGTTATTGAAAGTCAATTTTATGTAACTTTGAAAGAACATTCAGATCAACTTTTAGACCAAGTAAATGTATTAAATAGAACTGTTGAAGATTTGAACTGTAAATTGACAGAATGTGCATCAACTATCACCTCATTAGAAAATGTTAATATTGATCTTAAGACACTTATGGAAAGCAATGAAACAAGAACAAAAGAACTTCTTTTATTTACTGAGAGTATAAGTTCACTTAATGCATCATTACAGACTGAAAATACAAATTTACATGTTACATTAAATAAAGTACAAAACAACTATGAAGTATTAAAGAAAAAAAATAATGAACTCAAATCTATTATTATAAATCAAAAAAGTGTTTTAGAAACAGAAAAAAACACATTTGAAAATGATAAAAAAGAACTAGCTAATCATTTAGCTAAAAAAATGCAAATGGTTGATGAGTTAAAAACAATGTTAGAGCGCACTCAAGATGATTTGCACGTTTCTAAAAAAAAATTTAAAAGTACAGTTGCAGAGCTCACAAAAGAATTAAAAAAGAAGAATATGGTTGATACTTCAGTGGAAATGAAAATGATATTAGACAAGATGGTCAAATTACAGCAGGAAAATGCTAGAATTAGTGAAAAGTTAGATTTTGTCGAAGATCATAATGCACATCTGCTCTTAGAGTTAAAGAAAAAAAGAAGTATTATTTTAAGGCATGGGTTGTCTGATAAAAATACATCATTTTCTAAAACTAATGAACAGAAGAACAAAAAGTATTAGTTTACATTCTATGATTTTATTTTTGATGCGATTATTATTTTTAACTAAATTATAACTTATCTAGTCCATGTATTTTGCATTAATACACTTAAATTGTAAGCATACATATTATTATTTTATTGAATTATTGTATAGTTTTATCAACATATTATTAAAAATCAATTATTCCAATGTGCAATTTGTTGTTGTTTTATGTATAATTTAAAATTTGAAGAGTCGTTTAATTTTTAAATATATTTTGAGACTTTTTATTGTTTAATCATAAGGTAAACTATAAATGAAGGAAAATAGTTTTTTATTTTCTTAAATATACTTGATTGTCAACACAACCATAGGTACTGATTACTTTTTATATCAATATTAAACTATAATAAGAATTAATCATTTATAGCTAATATTAATAACTAAAAATATATTTAAAATATTAATTTATATTTAAAACTAAAAAATATTTAATTGTAAAAATTAACAAGAATATTTGAAATGTTTATAATTAAGAACTACTCATAAGAATTATTTCTCTAGTTAAAAATATCACAAATAATATAAATATTTTTTCGTTTTTAAAAAAAATAATAGGTTTAAAATTATAGAAGATTCACCGAAGACAAATAAAATATATCTTATTTTTTTAGATATATTACAGAGGGATTAATTATTAAATATTTTCGAATAAAGGAAAAAATAATACATTGAAAATTAAATCCTTATATACCAACCTAGCTGCTAAGGTTTTATTTCATTATTCAATAGAGTTCATGAATTTTATAATAAAAATACTTATGGTTATTTATATATTTTTTTAAAATCTGAAATAATATGATATTGTGTTCATAGTTATTAAAAAAATACCTATTTATTTTACTTGGTATCAAATATCTTTTAATTAAAATTTAAAATATAATAGGTGAGATAATGTATAGAAAATATTTTATTTTTAACAAAAAGATAAATTATTTTAATTTTACATAAAATTTAACAATTTTAAATTCAAAGTTTAAATATTACAAATGTTGTATGAGTTTATTAAACCAAGTTGTACAAAAACAAACTAAAATTATTTACAAAATGCACATGAATCAATTCTTTAATTATATTTTGTACATTTTCCTAAAAAAAAAAAAAAAAAAAGTAAAAAGTAATTTCTCTTTTGGATAGTTTAAAACATTATATTAGTCGAAATTCATGTATTTATCGTGACATATTATGGGTAAGATCTACAACTTCAATAGGTTCATTTGTTCTAGGAGTTCTTCTTCTAGGTACTTCAATTGGCATAAAATTACTTAAGTCGATTTCAAAATGAGGAAAAACTTCATGAATTCTTTGCATTATTTCTTGATGAACATGAGTAGGTTGTGTATTTCGACGTTGAGTTCTACCTCTTCCTCTACCACCTCTTCTTGCAGTAGGTGCAGGTGGTGCTTGATCTACTTGTGGGACATTAACTGTCAATCCTAAAAGTATTTATAACACTAAATATATATTAAACTTATATTTTAAATATGTAAAAATAATTGTGTATTGGTTTATGTGTAGTTTGTGTTGGATGAAATGTAATAAAGTTGCAGTTTTTCTAGATGAAAAGAATAAAAAATTTAACATAAGTATCAATTATTTTCAATAAACTAATACTTAATTTTTATTTAGTATGAGTTAATTTGTTAATAATTTTGAAATAAATGTTCAAATATACTTACTTTCTTGTTGTACTTTTTCCCGCTGTTCTTTTATTGCATTTCCAAGAAGATCACAAATATTAGTGATAAAGTTATCTAGAGATAGACAAAGAGTTTTGGTTTGAACAGAAGTTCGACAAACAGGACAAACTTTACTTTTTTTCAACCAAGTATTTAAACAAATTTCACAAAATGTATGACTGCAATTAATTGCACACGCCTAAAAAAAAATAATCAATTTTTAAATTTAATTTACAGATGTAAAACTCAAATTTTCTTGAACTAACAACTTGAGATGGAACATGTTTTATTCAAACTTCAAACCCAAATTCTAAAATAAAATAATTTAAAAAAGAATTTTGTTGGTCTAAATCTATGGATGGATATTATATGAGCCTTAAATAAAATTTTAAACATAAATTTTTAGGAGTTGAAGTATGTGATTTTTTTAAAGTTCTTTAGAATTATTATAATAACCCCGACTATGCTTATATCGTTGACACAGTAACATACGTGTTACAGCAGGAAAGCAGACTGCACACATAAACACTTTTGAAATTCATGGCCAATGTGCCATAATAATATATCCCTAACGACAGTTGACTTTTTACCATTATCGCGACCATTACTCTTTGTCTTATATTTAACTTAACTTACCAACCGCGTAAATAGTGTGTGTATGTTGTAGCCATCAGCTCCCTATTAGATTATATGATTTGTAGGTGTCCAGTAGGTTGTACTATTTATTTAATATCTCTTTACTTCATAAATATTTTTATTGTTATTAACTAAGAGAGTTATAAATATATATTGTAATGCGACCCTTGGTAATTCCTCTTAGGTAATATAAATTAAATAGGAAACCTCAGTACCCAAGGTAGATATAGCTTAACCAGCTATCCCTCTTTAGTTCTTTGGAATACAGTTGACGGGCATTTAGGCTCAACCCCTAAATAGCGACTTAACAGCTAACTTATCAAAAACAAAATTTCTCAATATAATAGAAACAAATTTGTTTGACAAATGACAGAAAATATCTTTTTCTATACACATTATTCAAGATTTCAAAAACTCATTTCTGTGACTTATCTAGATTTTAGTTAAAAGAAGTAACAAAATTATAAAATAATAATATATAGAAAATGACATAGTAATATTTTTTATATTACTTAAATTGTATTTAATTTTCATAAAAAAACAAATTTACTTTAAAATGTTACACATTATGGCAAAGTGATGTAAATGTAAGTGAATGAGGTAATTGTAAAATAATTTTTTTATCTTAGAATATAAAACAAATTATATTTTAAATTGGAAAGTTGTGTCTTCATATTTTTAGCTATTATATTAATTGCTAGTTCAAAATAAAAATATGTACATTTATCTAAAGAAAAGCATTTACAATTACCTCACTGCATGTTACTTAAATAAAGTGTAGATTTTATTATATGTATTCTACAATTGATTTTTAAACACCTTATAATTAAATCTAACCGCATTGAAGAAATAATAATAATATTTTAAACTAATAAAAATAAAAATTTTCATTAGATATTCTTTTTTTAATTAAATTATTTTTAATTAAAATAGTTTAGCTTTTCTTTTCACAAATTTTATTTAAAATTCTTGAGTTAGCAAGTTCAAAAAGTTTTCTGATATCAACTATCACTATCACTATCTACTATCTCTAGTATAAAAAAGTATTCTCAAATGCATTTTTTAACATAAGTAACATAATAAAATTGTTAGAAAACTTTTAACATGATGACGCTTTATATTTACCCTAATAATAGATTTAAATGTAAAAATACCTTAACCATTAATTCATTACAAATTGGACATTGAAAATCATTTTCTAGAACACTATAAACTTTTTCTTTGATTGTTTCTTCAATTATTGATCCTTGATCTAGAAAAAAAATTAATTTATCAAAAAAGAAAGATAGTAATCAAAGAAAGTTGGAGTTAACAAACTTTAACTTTATTTATTTTTAAAAGCTGATGAAGTAAAATATAAGCCCAAAATTAATTTTTACTCCTATATGTGAACTCCATTCAAAAAATTTATAAATTGAGTTAATAGCTTATTCACTTATATATTTTATACAGATAAATAAGTCCAGATTAAGATACAGTATTTTCATGCTACATATTAAGAATATCATGCCCCTTCTCTTAAACATGTTAAAAATCAAATAAAGTAAGTTAATAACAATATATATATTTATATAATCACCTTGTTGTATTTTTAAAGTACTTTGGTAATCTAAATTCTTTTTGGTTAATTCATTTATAGTGAGTTTATGCTGTGAAAAAAAATTTTTGAATATGATTTAATGCAAAAATATAGGTTAATAAAACATGATTTTAGAACTAATTTAAAAATTACTACACTATATATATTTTTTAAATTACAGTTAATGTTAATAAAAAAAATATTATATTGTAAAAATAATATAATATGTATTAACCAGAGGTTAAATTATTTTTAATTATATTTTTAGTAAAAATATAATTACTTTTAAAACTTCTTCGTTTAATTTTTTAACTGCTTTTGATGCTTGATTAATTATTTCATTAAATTCATATAATTTTGCAGTTATACAATGCTTCAATAATGCTTTTTCAATTTTCAGCTACAATAAATCAACTAATATTAAAAAAAAATTGAACTTAAATAAGTGATACAATCATATTTTGTGCACAAATTTTGGTTCAGCTTATAACACTTAACAGTTAGTTCAGCATTCATGCTTATTATAGATAGATATACAAGAACACCTTACAATGTTAACACATGCATTCTTATAGAATACTGTAAGGGAAGATGTAGTGCGACAGACAAGCAGTTGACACCTTCCATATGAATGTTTAACATCAATTTAATATTATTATAATATTTATTTCTCATTAAAACAATAATAATTATCATGATGTTTATAGCATATCGTCATCTACCTGATGGACGTTCTCAACATATCTTGTATCCACAGATTATTAATATTATTTAATTTAATTATTAATTAACCTTATTATTTGATTCCATTGTATTTTAATTAGCTTTTCTAAGGGGATATAAACTAATTAAAAAGTTGGGTTACTGTTGAAAGGCATTTTAGATTTGTACACAAATAGGATCGTATCATAAGTAACAATTAAAAATAAATATATAATTTATATATTCATTTAAAGAAATAAATTGTAAAAAAAATGGACATTCATAGAATTAAAACTTACATTGTCAACATCAGATTGAATTTTTGTTAAAACATTTTTCATAGCTAAATTTTTATTTAAAATTTGTGATTGGGTTTTACTAGATTCATTTTCTTTATCATATAGTTCGTTATTTCGTCTGAAATAATAAATACAATTAATTTAAACATCTAACTTTCTGTATTTCATTATAAAAATTAAATACAAAAGATAAAGCAGAGTAAATATAAAAGAATAGGGTATTACATGAATGAAAATATTTTAAGCATAATTCTGAATTTCACATAAATGAAAGTTTTTTCAAAACATTTTTTTAATCAATTTAGTTTTTTATAATGAATAAGAATTTTTAAACATTTTTTGTCAGCAAAGCTTAGTTTAAAAGTTAAAATTTAGAAAGGAATAATTATTTTTATTTTTTAACAATATTATTCAATAAATCTAAAATCTATATTTAAAGTCTTATAAACAAATATTGTTCAGACACTTTGTAATTACTATATTATGTGATTGCAAAGTTTGTAATAAAAATAACTGACATGTATTAAAAGAATGAATTAAAATATTTTTATAAATAGTTTTGATTTAGATATTATTAATCAATTTGATGGCATTTTCTAAAATAAACAATACATTTGATTATATTAGTGTAGCATATTCATATTCTACAAATTAGGTACATACAAGATGTCTTAAGAATAATCTCACTTCAATTTTTTATCTGCATATGTTTGAAAAACAAATCTGTACAGATATTTATAATTTCCACTTCCATCTGCAAAGGAAATAACATCTCCATGATTTAGAACTTGATAATCATTTTGGTTGTTAGGAATTTGCACACAATTTATGTAAGTCCCATTACCTGTTCCCTGTAATACAGATATGATCAACTTAGAATTAATTATTTTCTTTTGATAGCTAAATTAATATAAACACGTAATAAAAATTTAAGTCTTACATTGTCAGAAATAACATATTGGCCATTGCATTTATTTATAAAACAATGTCGTCGTGAAATAGCTTTTTCTTCAATTACAAGTGAACAGGCAAGAGAACGTCCAATAACAAACTGAAGAGTTATAATATATCAATTTAATAACGTTAAAGAAAAATAAATCATTAAAGTATAATATTTTAAAATATAAAACAAAGATGACTTAAAGTTAACATAGAAATTATTTTCATATAAAAATATATGTATATTTAATAAGTTCATCTAAATACTTAAATAGAGTTTATTTCTGAAAGAAAAAATCTACCTCAGCGTCACCAATAGGATAGTTAATGCCACTAGCCAAGCACTGTAATGTTGCATTACCAGCTATGTCAGAATAACTGTTACTTCTTTTCAAGCTCATTGTATTTTTTATGTCTTTAAACATTTATGGTATTCAGTTTAAAATCTAACATATAAATACACTTTAAAGTAGACCTAAAAGCAATGAAAATATTTGTTTTTAATTAAAAACATTGGAATCTATGGTAGCACATGTTGATTACGTACTGTTTACACAAAATAAAACAATTTTATAAAAGTTTAGAGAAAATAATAATGTTAAACAAATAAATAACTGTAGTCAATATTTTTAGTTAATAAAAGTTATAACGTTTTTTGTGATAAGAGTATTAACTACGATTGTAGATAGAATGGTACAATAAGATTTATACATCTTACAGTAATCTATGGCAAAAAATTGTCTCATTTAAAAGTTAATTTTACCTACTGCATATTAGCGCTCCTGGTGGTCATCAGCTCAAATCACTCATCGGTATGTGATAAAAGGCTCCATTTATCACGATAATCAATAAAGTTCTATCTACAATTGTGATTTCTATCATGATGAACTATCTACAATCGTGTTATGAACTAGATTGCGCTATAGTGCAGTAGTTTTTTATTGTTATTTCGATAAGGAACATTGGTACCGCATAATCAAGCGTCCTTGTATAACCATTGTATCTCTTATCATGTTAACATACAAGGTTCTTAGATAATAAACTTATTATCTATAAATTTTGATTAACGCAAGTTAACAATGGTTTATAACTATCTATTACAAATCTTATCTAGTTGATATTGAAAACAAATTTTTTCCAACACATGAACTGCCAATGAAGATTCGAATTTAACTTGCTTTTTTGCATTTTTTCACCTGTGTTAGAATTTTCAGGAATTGTTATGTTTCGCTAATTTTTTTAAATATAATATATTAGCCACAAATGATCAATTCTTATTCTATAAAAATATAATAACCTAAAAATCATAACTTTTGGACTTGCCTCAGTATAGTTCTAAGGTACAAAATTATTATTTTTAAATATTTATCAAAAAAATAATAATTTAAATAAAATCGCATTTTAAGGTAACAATTAGGTAACTTGGAATGAATTTGTTGAAAATTATGCAACTGACATTTAATATTATTTATCTTATTATTCTTATAAAACTCTCCAGAGAAAGTTTTCTAGTTTTACAAATGCAAAATAGGTCATTCTAGAAATTAATATCTGGTATATTGAAATATTTTAGGACATAAAAATACATTCAATATAATATAGTAATTTTATTATTCCTAAGGTAGCAAAGTTAGTAGATAAAATATATATATTAAGTGTAATATAATTTTACTAAAAAGATTTGGGAGGATATGCAAAAAAAAAAATTAAAATCTCCCTCCAAAATAAATCTTTAGCATATAATAATTTCTGCCACGAAAGGATTTTATTCCCCATTCTCTTTATGATGGCGTAACAGCTATATTAGTTGGAAATTTAGATATTTAGACGTCCGAGTTCAAATTAAATAAATGAAAAAATGGAAGGCTTATCTTCTCAAAATTCATTATACTAACAAAATTAATTTATTGAATTTGTATTTAAAAATCAATAATTTTATAAACAATTAAAATAACGATTTGCACACATAATTTTAATAACGGCAAGAAATCTGATGTACAGACCATGGGAATTCCCACAGAGATATATAGAACTCTTCACGTTAAAAATAAATATATAATAAAGATATATTTTGTAAAGGGTAATGAAACAATTTCTTATAAATTTGGCCTTCCAAGACGCAACCCTGAGAACGGCACTGATATACACTGTATGCTGTTATATTAGCTTAATAATTAAATGTCTAATTGTAACCTGATTATTATACTATGGTAGAATAATTCTTATTCTTTATAGAATATTTTTAATCACATAATTCGTATAATTTTTATACGAGATGATGAATGAATGAAGGAATAGATAAGTATTTTTTTGTGTATTAATATATTGTAAAATTTTAAACTCTTTTAAAATCATGAGTAATTTTCCACTCATGACTGTAGCGCTATAGGTCGAGTTGATCATGCGCTGTTTTAAAGCCTCGTGGACTGCTGAATGTGTAAAACATTTTGAGGCATATGCGAATCGTATTTTGCCGGAAAAGTACTGTTGTTGTTCCATAAAAATCATTTCATTTGTTGTCAACGCGACCGAAACACGATGTTCGACGAATTTCTTATAGTGTTGCATGTTGTTAAACGGTTTCTTTAATAGAGTTAATGTGTAATGATTCATTGATTTGTACGAATGTAGATGTTCCTATTGTGTCGGTGTATTTAAACATCACGTGAGTAAATATTTTAATCGTGTATCATTGCTGTAATATTAATCCGTATGAATGTTAAAATATTATGTATTATATAATGTTATACAGTTTATACTATATTATTATAATATAGCTTCAGTAAAAAGTAATTATTTGGTGATAAAAAATTAAAATATTAGTTTCATTAATCAAAAGGTTTAAAAATTGAATCGAAAAGATGTCTAAATCAATTTAATAAATACATTTAAATAAAAAATACTTCAAAATGATTCTCAATACTAAAGGGTTTCCTTTTTCAAATGCCAAAATTGATGGTATGAAATCATACCTTAAAAAAAACCAAGTCTGTATAAAGGTCAACTTATTATAGGTCATAGGGTGTAATATATTTTTTTGCGGTAAATCATCAATTTTAGTAAAAATTTCAGAACTTATTTTGATTTAAAAAAAATGTTTTTCCAATTCTATTTTTTTTTTTTTGACACAGTACATTTGATTCGATCAATAATTATTTAGTACTTAATATAAAGTATTTCTTACTAAAATAACATATTAGTTGAATTATGCCATTAAAGACATGGACTAATTTAAGAAAAGTGTTATTTAGTATATACTGGTCCGTATTCCTTGGAGTACTTCTAATTTTTTGGATTTTCTTGTGGCAAGCTATACTTTTTTATTTTTATTTTGCAAGACAAATTGTTCAAACATATAAACAATAAGTTTTTTTGTTAAATTAAATCACTAATAAAAAAGGATGGATATCATAAAAAAAAGGTATCTATTATTATCAACAATCATGATTCTGGTGTTAGTATTTTTTACAAGCTTTTAAAAATTACTTTTTTTTTTTGTATTCAGAAAATGTATTTGAATGTCAATAAAAATATTATTCAAAATATTTTTTTGACTATTTGAAAAATGTTTCAAATATACTTTGAGAGAATTGAAAAAAAAAATAGTCTAATTTATATAAAAAAACTATTAGTGTTATCAAAAAAATATTTAATAAATTCTCTCAATAATATTTATAATAAATTGAATTTATATATTAAACTGAGTACCACGACAATTATGACTTAGGACAATTTAGCACAGGTCAGTTCCACGTTAGATAATTTTTATTGTAGGACTTGGTTATTTATAAAATGAGAAAAAAGAAAGTAAAACAGTTCTGTAATATAAAACTATTTTATGTCAATAAATTACAAAAACAAAAGATAACATTATTAAAAATATAAAAGATTTATAAATAATTAAATTTTAACGATTAAGTAATATAATTGACATACTGATATTTTCAAGAAAAATATTAGTAAATGATAAAGCAATATTATCTGCACAAACAATAATAAAAAATTTTCTACAATTTAATTTTTTTAATTTGGTTTTGCTGTCATATATAAAATAAACATAAAAAAAAAATTATTCAGAATATATATTTTTTTTAAGAATTGTGATCACCGTAAAAATACAAAGAAGTATTTATATATAAAGGTATAAATATTTTTATTTTTATACTTTCATTCAAATATTTTAGAAGACCGAGAAACACATATATTTATGAATATTTAAAATTTTTTTTCCATACTTTCTGTGATAATCCGAGCAAACCCCATTCTAAATTATTTGTAGAATCAGAGATTTCGGTTTTTCAAAAATTTTTATCATATTTATAAGTGTAAGGTATAGCTAGTCAATCACCTTATATATTGTTTCTATTTTTCTAATTGTTTGTAATAATTGACCTGTTTCCATACTTACTGAGCTCAGTATATATACTATTGAGTAGTACTTTTGATACAGTTAATATTTCGCTATTAATATTTTTAAAAATTATTTATGCATTTGTAGACTGTTTTAAATCCATATTTTGAAATATTTGTGTTCTAATAATAAAACTTTTTTTTATTATTAAATTTTATTAAAATTACCAGTTACTGTAACATATTTTTACAACATTTTTTAATGAATCGATTACAATTTTAGGATAAATACTTATTGTTGTGGAGTGTGTGTTATAAATGTACACCAGTACAAGCAAGGCGGAGCTAAGAGAAGGTTTGAGGGATAAGCTTCTCAAGTTTTCTATATCTCCCAGAAAGTTAGAAAAATTACATGTATTGTTATATAGAAAGCAAGAAAATTTAATTTCAGTACTTACAAAAAAATTGTTCAACCTCCGCTTATGAGTACAAGTTGTATCCATTCGCATTAGATACGTACTTTGTGTATTAAAATTCATACACCTCAATAATTACTCGCTCTAAAATTATTGATCAATTACATTTTTTTTTTTAGAAAAACTTTAAAAAACAGCTATTATGAAATGTTGAATACATTTCAAATTTTTTATTTTATTTTATTTATTCTTATTATTAAAATTAAATAATGAAAAATATCTTATGATGTGGTTTACAAATTTTAAAATTTTAAAATTGCAAAAAAAAAAAAATAATTCATAATGTTAATTGTATCAAAAGTTATAGGAGTTGTCCACTTAGAGTTTTGTTCCAATTTATATATATATATATATATATATATATAAATGCTGTTTGTGTTTATTTATTAATTAATATCATTAGTTAGTACGAGTGACATAGTGTCATAGATTTCTATACAATTATTAAATTAATTAAAAAGGTAGAGTAATACTAATATTACAACAATTATTTTTTTATAAAATTAAACTAAACTTCTTTCTCTGTTTATATATAAAGACATACAAAAATATAACTGGATTTAAAACGATTGTCATTATCTTTAAATACGGTCAACATAATTAGACAAATATCTGAATGAGTGATTTAACAATATTTAAAGGTCTATAAGTCGATGGAAATTCAAGAGGCAAATCACATTTTTTAGACAATGTCCGTATACTCACTGAATATGTGTGTCCCACGATGTTCTGGTAAGAATAGTGTGTAGATTTGTTAGAGCACCTTGGGACACCCTGTATATTTGTGTATTAAGAAGTTAACTTATATTTCAAAATATATCACAACATATATTAAACTTCGTTTGGGAATCGGCAAGTTTTCTGTCTTATTTATTTATCATTATTTCCCTTTTCACAAAAGTTCGTCCATCGATTTATCTTCAAAGTATTTTAGTAAATAAAATACTATTGGGAAAAGTCCTTCGACCATCTTTATCCACAAAAGAAAAATGTAAATGTTTTGGAAAAGGTTGGGTATTTCGTACTTAACAAAGCACTTCATCCATTTGTATACGTTAAAATTTAAGTTATTTGGAACCTTGAAAAATATCTGGTAATGTCTCTCGGTAAAATTTGTTTGCACGATTAGTTTTTATGAACTCTGCAATATCTCGGCATGAGTCTACCTGATATCTGATCCAATTGGATCTGAGATTAAAAGTTCAAATAATTATCATATCAAACACATGTTATGCATACTTGATCATAAAATTGATTAATTACCGGTATTTTATTTTTTATGCGATCAGAATGGAGAGGATTTTTAAATATTTATTTTATAATAAATGTAACTTTGGTAGAACAAAACTCGTGGTCAGAGTATGTCTTTCTCTTTACACGACGTTTTTGATATGATTTAAAACAGACTAAAGACTAAAACAGAATTGTTCTTGTAATAATTATATGAAAACGCACATAAATACACGTGTGTCATAAATTATAGCGGTGTGACGTGAATAAAAACGAAATTGGTTTTTTAGCGCAGTATATTATTTTACGAAAAGGTAACTTATTTTTTTTGTTGGATATAATCTGAATAATGTAAATGTGTACCACAATAAACCACAGTGATATTATATTGTAGTGAGAAAATAAAAGTGACTCGAGAATTATTTAACATAATTTTTAACTTTATACGGTGTTACACATTACACGGCATATATTTGAACACAAAATCTTAAACTTTCGCGTTCGTCGTATGAGTTTTTAGCGGTGTCGTTCAATTGCCTTAACATTGCTGTTTAACCGCTCAATATAATAACTGTATGAGTAATGAATATAAAAGAGGTATATCGTCTTTGCTTCAGATAAAGTTCATAGGATATTGTATGAAGAGTTTTCAAATGTCTTATACATTGCAAGGGATCGTTGAATGGATTAGATATCCATAAATTTTGATTAAAAACGGTTAGTCGAAACGAATTGCGCGGGCGTTGGTGTAACGTTTTGGTAGAATTTGCGGGGAAAATATTGATTTTATAGAGGTGTTCAAAAATGCGATTAAGAATAATTACAAATGAAATCGATGAATTCGTTTTTTAGTAGAATTGTTTAATTAGCGTGCACCAACGTTACTCGTCGGTGCTTTTAATTGTTTGATAATTGGGATTTGGTAGTTATTGTTTTTAAGTTTAACGTGCAATTTAGGTAAACGTCAAGTTTTGTCGGACGAGGTTGATCTCTTTCAGGGAACAAGTCTGAGTTGATCTTAACGGAACGATTTCAATTAAATTACATTACTTATACATTGTTTTTACGAATACTCGTCTGAAAACTCAATTTTCAAGTAAAAGTGATAATTGCCACTTGGATTTCAATGTCGTATTATTTACGTCAACTGTGAATAAACATTTTTTATGTGTATTATAACCTTTAAAATACGTAGCAAATTAATACGTTTTCCCATAAACGTGTTGTTGTACAATCAATTGATTTTATCTATATTTATCTCGACAGGGCATGTTTAAGACAGTCCGGGCGCAACACGGGGCAGGAGATGTAGCGGCCGAACTTGAATACACTATATTGCCTCAAACCGACGACCGTTCTTCCGGTTCGAGCGGCGATGATGAGCCGTGTGCGGCCGATGGCCGCCGACGTTGTGGCCACCGTGCGGACTTTGGTGACAGCAACAGACGGACCGTAATCATCATTGTGGCCATGTTGGTGTTAGGCTGCGGGGTGGTGGCGGCTGCCGTGTTGGTACCTATACTGCTAGCCGCCCGGCTGGTGAGCATGCCGACGTCCGCACGATTACAGACGTTTGCTGTTGCCGCCTCGGGCGTAGTGCACTCGGCTCGCGGTGACTACGTACAGCTACTGCCCGTCAAGCACGCGGCTCCTGGCACGGTCATTGAATTCGATAGGCTGGCACCACCGCAGCTGCCGCAAATACCACCAAGCCACAGGGCGAGACGATCGGTTGCTGCGTTGACGGCCAAACGGCGCCGAAAGTGGCCAGACAACAACCATTTCCAGAGGTCCGGTGCCAATTTCCGATCTCTGGACTTCCGAATTCCATAACGTTGACCTCAATCGTGCAATGTCAACGAGCAAAACAATCAGAACCTAATAATGTAAGTAGACTAATGTTATTGGCGTAGAATGTTTTCCTGGAAGGAAAAGGTTTTTTTTTTTTTGTTTGGCAACAGTTGAAATGATTATGTTGTGTCGTTAATTTTAATGTTTAGTTTCAAATGTCTTTTGTATTTATAGATCTGTGCGTTTACAGTAGTAGTAATAATAATAGAAGATAAATAAGTAAACAGTTAACTATCTCCAAGGAGAATGTTAGTACCATAATTATAGAGACTTTCGAGTTTAATTGGATTTGGGCGTGTTGACATTCTTGAATTATGGATTTTTTAATCTTTTCGGTTGACACGTATTACATATTTGGAGAAGGCCATTTATTATTTGTTCAATACCAACAGTAGTATTTTTTTTCTAAAAAGGTTCGGTAAAACTTAGAATACCTAAAATTAGACAAGTTTGTTTAATCTTATTTTTACCGTGTAATTGAATTTATTGGCTGTTATTTTTTGTAATTTCTTGGTCGAAACTAAAGATATGAATGATTTATTGAAATGGATCATAAAATTTTGTTGGATATTTTATTCAAATTAATCATATATATGAATATATATTGTTTAAAGAAGCCCACAGTCATGCATTTATTATAATTTCTTGTACTGCAGAGAAAAATTTGGTATATTCGTCTGCTCATAGACATAATAAGAGATCGTGTTAAACAAATCCAATAATTTTATGGATATGATAAAAAAAAAAAATCATTATGACACCATCACTTACAATTTTTTTTTTTTTAGACATTTTTTGTTCGTTACTTATTATTAAATGGTCTTTTCTGTAAAATTACTGACATTAGAAGCAGAAGAGAGTTCTCTAATATATCATCCGACAAATATATGTATATGGGGATCGACGCATCACTACATCCGTCTAATTTACAATATGCATAATATACCAAATGGTCGCCAACATTTTATTGTAATGATATGTTTTCGATGGATTTTATGGTACCTCATGTCTTATTAAAAAAATCGAGACGTTTCATCAGCTAGTATTAGTAGCTTTGACTAAAAGAAGATCTCAACTAATTTATACAGTTGTACGATGGCGTAGCTACTTCAAATATATTTGTACTATTTCAACATTGTGTGATAAATAATAGCCAAAAACAGTACTTTTAGAGAGTATCATATATCCTAGAAATATTTTGTTTTATCGATCGTTCCACGCTAAGGTTGACATTTCTCGTTGTCAAATACCCTTTGGCTATTTTTCAAGCTAAGTTTACACTATAGATTCTTTGATACTTTGAAATAACGCCTCGAGCGCAATGTTTTTGTTTTTAAAGCACTAACGCTTTATTGCTCGATTCTGTAATAGAATGTAACTTAATCCGTTCTCTCCATATACTTAATATATTCTCTACACAGTATGTTATCGACTAGTAATTAAAAATTTTGCGTATAATATTGAAAAACCCCATTTACTGAGGGTGATCAGGATTTCTTGTTGCAGACATTTTCTCGTAATTATTGAAAGCATAAAAGAGTATATCAAATAATAACTTTTCATCGTAACTTATAACTAGTTACAGACATTTTAATATATATAGTGGGTGTGTTGTGTAGGTGGGTATGCGATATAAATATACACCAGTACCAGCTTTACCCCCTCCCACCAGTACATTCCACTCGATGTACTAAAATGCTTGTAAATCAATGAGTACTAATTTTAAAATTGTTGTCGATCCATCATTATTTTGTCCAATAAAAGGGCTAGAAAATAGCTATCTTGAAAAAAATAAAAAAACAGTTTATTTTATTTTATTAGTGATAAATAAAAAAAAATATATCTCGAACACAATCTATGAAGGCAATAATTATTTTTAAAAAAGTTTCAACGCAATGATTATTGGATTAAAATTTACTAGAGTCGTCAATTAAATCTGGTTCACCTTGTATACATTTTAATGAGCACAAAATATCATATTCTTGGCACATATTTATTTTTGATTTTTCATCACCTCATCAGGTAAACCTAAAGTAAATCTTTGCAATTTTGTGTACGAAAGTAACTGAAATTCATTTTTACCTGTAACGAAATTTTATATCATTAGCGATTTCCATTTCAGTAAATAATTTATTCAGAAGTGTTTTGTACATTAATATTGTGACCGCATAATAAAATAAAATAGATGGAACGAAAGGTCAATGTATATTATTTAGGGTAGCAGCATTACATTATGACCTATACGGTCAAAATATAATTTTCATTCTGTTATTTTCAGTATTTAAATTAGAAGCATAAAATCCTTTAGCAGAAACAAATTTTGTAACCTTATTAGTTATATTTTTAAGGGTGCGTTTGAAAAGATCATTCTTCAGAAACTTTGAAATCTGAACTCAAATACTAGAAAACACACCCTAATTGTTATTACACTTGACATTTCTAGAAACTGTAGGTAACACTTGATGTTTATGGAAGGTTTTCTGTTATCTCTTATTCGAACAACAACAATGGGTTATGTCGTGAAAACTAATGGGATAGACACACCCATTCCATAAAAGTAGCAAAATAACATGTATGAGAGGGAAAAGTCGAGGTATGAAAGTCCCGTGTTCATAAAACTCATATGGCGTTCAAGGCAGATGCTTTAGGCAATTTTGTTTTTAATGTATTGTGGCTTAGCAAAATGTCTGTTAGATTCACATTTTTAGTCATTTCTATTACGTAACGCGGTTTATGTGTGTGTCTCAATCAACGAATGGTATCTTAAAAGAGGGTGAAAAAATAGCAGTGTTGCAGAAAGTATCCAGAAAAACTAGCCTTGTACGTGTTATATCAAAAGAGTCGCATCAATTAAATTTTCAAATTCGTTTTCGACTTTCTTCTTTTCTTTTCTTTAGAATGAAGTACTTACTAATCTTGAGTTTATCTCGAGTATATGCTCCGTGAAGTTTTTCTCTTAGTAGACTTTTTTTAGAATTATTTACTCGATCATTAAAAACTACTTCATTAAGTTTATGGAGTTTTAAATTATGAATGTTAGATAAATTGAATAACCTATCGGTAAATTTATTTAAAAATAATATTTCATTAAAATGTGTCTTAATAAACTAATAAATCATAGTGTGTTTGAAGTTTGTATAGTTTCCTTTAAAATGAAAAACGTGGATACTAGATTTTGTTTTAAAGTTTTTTAGTAGGTAGTAATAACAACAGTCGCATCGGAATAAATATAATTTTGTAAAATGTTTCACGAGGTCAAACTAAAAATTCAGGAAATTTTAATACAATTGATATATTGATTAATAGGTGTTTTGTAATGTCATTACGAGATGTGATCGATTAATTGTTGTTATATAACTTTAACTTTATTTATAATTAAATAATTGTATCTATTATGTAAAAAGCCTGATTAAGAAACCTCCTTCTTCGAGAGAGGCTGTTAATGGGCCTAAAAAATTATATAGAAAAAAAAAGAATCATGTATTAATACTATACAAGGGGCGTCATAAATTAAAATTGTCATTAAAATAGATTCAACCACTATATTGAAATGTAAATTTTCAATTTTTTCATTAAACTATAGTGAAACCTTCTTTAAACGGATCATCTAGTAGACAAAAACCTTTTTTAAATGGAAAAATTCTACGGCTGTGGTTTTTTATAGATTAAATTTAACGTCAATTAAACGGATACCTCTTCTAAATGAAAACATTTCCTAACGGAAAAACAGTTTGGTCCGCGGCGTTTTTCTGTATTAAAAAAAAAATATTTCATTAAATAAAACGTTTATTGAGTAAATTATTTAATAACTGTTGAGAATCATTTTCTTATTATTTAGAGAATTTTAATGGTCAGTAAGTAGTTTTAAGAGCAAAAAGGGGATGAAATAATACCAAATTTCTGAACAATTCATAGTAAAAAAACTTTTTATTCCAATATGCTTCTGTAAAGATTTTTTTTTATAGATATAGTCATTTATATTTTATTGTGATCATAATATGTTTAATTGGTGTTCATAGCGTTTGTAAAATTGTAGTTCAGTTTGGTAATTAACCCTAATATCGATTTTGTATCTTTAGAGTTAATTTCATTACATTTTTTGAAAACTACTTTAATTATTGAAAGATATAATCCCTTTTTGTAATTACGATTTGTTGGCTACTCATTTAATTTATAATCTAAAAACGAAAACCGAGTTAGTTATGATCAAATAACGTATTCTTGGGAATTCATTAAAAGATTAAACATTTTATGGTACTCTTGCAAATTACAGTGGATTATTGTTTTAATAATTCTGTATACGTGTATTCTTAATTCGGCGAAATTCAATATTTCTCTTTGTGTATATGTAAGTGAATCTAACTCTCTGCTTCATACAACAAGGTGAAATTAATAACATAGAAAAGTATAGTTTTAGATAAATTTGCATTATCTTACATGCATTACAGGTATACAAAATAATTCTTTTGACGCTAGACACACGATCCCTCTTAAAATAATGATTATTTTTAGACTGTTATTTTTGATAATTTTTAGTTCATATATTTATCGATTACCAGATTCATTATTTTTTTAATTCATCTCTTATACCTTATAGAGGATTCCTTATAACTTGTCAAGATTTATTTTACATTATACATTTATAAATGTCTATAGAATAAAAAACTACGTAATTATGAAAATATCTCATTGAATTATTTTGAGAGTACGCGATGAAAGTTTTTCTATGTAAGATTTTTAATGAAAAAGATGTATTTGATAAATCTTATATTAAAAATCCATAAATTTTACAGGTTTTTATCAGGTTCTATAACGGATGCTATAAGTTTTTTTCATTTTAAAGTTGAATTTTTTTGCTAATTTTACAATAACATTTTCCCATGTAACTTTTACTCGAGAAGATGTCATATTTTATCATCATTCTGTTGTACATATGTGTATATAGGTACATCAGAAGTAAACTATGAGAAAACTTTTGGAAATAGTTTCAGCCATTTTCGAAAAAAAATCCGACTTATTATAGTTTACCTATTGTATACAGATATTTAGTGAAATTGAGTCAATATTTTCGCTATTTTTAAATAGTTTTTTGTAGTTGATAATTAACTACAATTGAAAAACTTTTACAATTGAAATCATCAATTTCTAAATTTTGTTTTATAAATTTTTAAGTTGGTATCTAATTGTGATTTGTGTATTCTTCTGATAATATGTAAAACAATTTTTAATGTACTAATATGTTTTTCATCTCAGTTAAAGTGAACATAGTTTTAGCGAAAACTCTTCAAGTACAAGTACTATAGTACTGTTGTGGATACTAAAACCAAGTCATCCATCTCACTTGAAAGGTTTTTAAAAAAGATCTGAAGTACTGCGGAGGTATTGTGATAACAATAATTCTCATTTACGCGGCCTGGCATAACTAATAGTGTTATGTATATATTTTTTGTTTTAAAATTCCTTTATTTATCAAAAAAAAAACCGATACATATCAAAAACGAGTAGTTAAAATACTACTTGGAGAGTTTTAAATGAAATTTTGACCGAAACTTAAATAAAATGCCTTAACTATGCAGCGTTAGGTATTTTATTTTGTACTCTCCTTATAAAAGTTCTCAAGTTATTTATGAACTATTGTCAATAAGGGATAAAACTTCTTCGGTGAATTTTAATCTAAAGTAATAGTATAAAGTCATTTTCGTACAAAGTATAAAATAAGTGGACTCTGTTAGACTAAATGGGATGTCGGTATAAGTTGAAAAATTAGCCTAAAATATTTCTTGTGCTATATTTAGCTTAACTTCCACTTATCGTGAGAATATTGGAAAGGTTGTGATGTTTGTTTTTAATATGTAATTTTTGTTTATGACATAAGAACGTTGCCAGACAATTTTCACTGTGCTCGAGTATTTTGGGTCCTTATATGATTTTATATTATTTGTGTATGAAAATGAAAATGTTAGGGGAGATTCATCATCAAATTATCATATTATTCTTGGATTGTGATGTTCCATATCTCAAATCTCTTTAATTTATAAAATACTTTAATTAAAATTACTAAATTAGATTTTTTTTTTATGAATTATAGTCCCTAAAATATTTCCTTAAATGTATAATATTTAAAAAAATAATTATGTTTTTGGGGAAACCAAACCTGGGCTAGGGTAAATTTAAGGTATGCCTGGTTCGGTCAGGACTCCATGTAGCTACGTGCCTGCCATGACACAATATCTATTAGCCTTTTTATCACATTGAAAATGAATAGGGAATTATTAATTAAGAAAGCCTACATAGCTCAGAGGAGGTTCGATTCCGTAGTATGGGACAGTACTGTGTAGGCAATCCTACCCACCTGCCACAAGCAATAGCTATTCAGAGAGGACATTAAACATAAAAAAATATTATACAAAGTAAGGAAGTGAATGTTTATTCAAATACGGCCAACAACGTTTTTGAATGTTGTACTAATGTTCTTTTTAAAATACATTTTTAAAAATTTTTTTAAAGTAGATATCGAATTTTGAGAATAAATGTTGTTTCTTCGTTGTATTGAATATGTTTATTTTATTTTTACAGATATATTTAATTGGTGGTTTAGAAATCATAATAAAAAATATGACCAGAAATATTTGTTTGTAAATAAATTGCTCTACATCGATATAACATGAATCAAACAAGTAAATATTAAAATCAAATATAAGTACGATGGATTTTTTAATGAATTGCAGTAGAAGTTCTTTGATGTATGACATTCTTGGATGATATTGAATCAATAGCTAATATTTGATGATATTCTGAAAAAAATTGAATCGAGTCAGCAAGCAATTATATCACAAAAGGTATGAAACAAAATTACTTATGTGGTATCAATTTTAATGACAAAATTTTCATTAGACGACATTGAAAATTATTTATGCTAAGATAAGATATAACAATCTACGATCAGAGTAAAATTTAAAATAATGGAAATTTGATCGGTAATGTGGAATTTGTTATGTGATGAAGTCACTTTACATTGGATGACTAATTTATCTTATACCTCTTGATTAAAATGTGACAACGAACAGAAGTCAATTTAAAGACTCAAATATGTATTATACTAAGTTGTAATGCAAACAAATTTAGTGTATAATATATGTATTGATAAATAGAAATGTGTATTTTGTATATTAAAGTTCAAATATATTTATTGTTCATAAAAATAACAAATTAAATTATTGTATTGAATATTAATGCATTGTTATTAATCATATTGTACTTTTTTTTGCACAATATATCAAATATATATATACAAATTATGTATAAATACTATATTTAATATTATACACTAATATTTTTTTACATAGATTTTGAAAAATACTAAAATTGATTTTTTCTGATTTAATAAATTGTTGATTTTTTAAAGCAAATACTCCAAAATCAATATTTTTCCTTTTTTCCTTAATGTTTAAAGTGAGTTATAAAAGTTCAAAACATCTAGGTACTTTGTTGAAATAATTTATTACAGCACAGTAAATTTTTATAACTTTATTATTGTGTTGGCTTGATTAATTTTTTCCTGACTAAATGTTGTCTATTAGTAAGAAGAATGTCTTTATGTTGCAATTTATTGAAAAATACAAATATTTTGAAGTACGTATCAAATTTAAATATTAACTTGCATATATGTCATTTTTTATGCTTCTACCTGTTAAAAGTAAAAAAAGCCAACGGGTCAGTAGCTCAAATAATGGGTGTTCTAACATACAATTTTATTATTGAAAATCATTCATGACACATGACATTACAATATCTCGAAAGAGTACTTTATACAATTATATTATGTCCATTATTTGTATGAAAATATAGTAATTTGTTAGACAAATATTACAATTTTATTATAATTGTAGAATTAAAAATTTCTTTTCCCATAGTTTTGTTTAATGGTTATATGTTTTTCAAACAAATTAATATCTATTAAAACTACAAAAATAGTTCTTGTAAATTAAAGTATGTCAAAAAATATCTATCGGAGAATATCATTATTGAAATTCAATAAAAATCTGCAATAATTCAATGAGTTAGTGCTGAGTTTTTATTAAAATATATCAATCGTCTATTGCACAAGATAGGTAAGTGACAGTTTTGGAGAAAAAGGTATAGAATTATTATTAAGAACTTTAAGCGTCTATTGGTATACTAGTAATAAACGTATAATTATTGGAGTACTATTATTTTATAGTATTTTAAAATGATAAATGAATATGCAAAACCATTTTTTCTTAATTAAATATTCTTTTATATATGGTATGATACTTTATTTCTTAATAACATTTTTTAATTTTGTATTTAAAGGTTTTGATAATCCTTTACTTGTTCTATCTATATCGTATACTATTACCAATAAGACACATTTTTACATTTTCTAATCGATAAACACTTAATTTTAGAGAAGTTATTTCATTGTAAGTTCTATTATGATTATTTTAGCTTTTAATATCTCTCAAAACAATAATTTTGTTGAGAATTTTATTAGTTAATTATGTATCTCTATTTATCCGTTATAGATTTTTTTTTATATTAATCCTTTATGAGTTATAAAGGTTCTAACTTTATATTTTTAATTAGCTATATGTATTATTAAGTAGCTTATTAAATAGAAAATTATGCGATTAATTAATAAATTAATGAATAACATTTGATTAATTTTAAATTAATGATAACAACATTTGGACCAGTATTTCAGAAGTTCTTAACATTTTAAAGTATTGACTAGAAGTGAGGTGTGGTCGTTACTATAATTATCATTAAAAATTTATTGTCCTCATTTGTGCTCCGCATGTATAAAAATGATAGTAACTTCAAAAATACTGGTTGGAAATTTTTCAACTAGATATTTTTTTATTATTTAAGATAGTCAAACATGTTGTTATTAAAAAAAAAAAATTGATACCATTATATGGAATAAGGAATAAACCAAAAATTATTTTATAACAGATAAATGAAAATTAAAATGTAACTAATAAAAGCCAAAACATAAAATTCTTATTAATTTTTTTTCTATTAGAAATTGAGTGGTTAGCGCAAAAAGACTTCAACTTGTATATTAGCATCTGTCTATGCGAATACTCAGCTTCTACTGCATAAAATCATTTATATCATGTTATATTTAGTTCAAAAAATCACCCTTAGAAGTTGAAAAATATACTGAAATTTTTTAAACAAGATAAATATAAATACTTTTAGACAGGTGTTTTGTAGTTTTAATGTTTATTTAATTAATTTATTAAAAAGTGACTTTAGGGATCTCTTTTTTTAAAAAATAAGTTGATCTGAATAATTCAATTTACTATAAACACAATTTTATTGAAGCGTTTTATAACAGTGATCCTAATCACTGACAGATATCAATTTAATGTCTGACAGTGCCCTCAATGTCAGGTACCCACGTTGTCGTACCCCGTTTTTCTAAGTTTTTTTGTGTCAGTAAAATATATAATTTAACTTGACCGATTAACAATACTCAACAATACGTCAAACACACTGAATTTAATTTAAATTAATAGTGTCATAAATTGAAAAAATCCTCCATAATTTCCATAAGAAAAAAAAAATTATCAAAAACTATAAATGTTAGAAAAATAGTCAATATGTGATATTTTTAGTTTTCCCTTTATATTGAAATAACTTTTAAAAAACTAAATGGATCAATACAAAATTTTTATTTATTTTACTTAGAAATTTATCTGTTGATTACATATTTTGTTTGAAAAAAGAGCAAAGTATTTTGGGGTTCTCCATCTAATTATAGCACTAATGGTAACAATATTATTTAACGTGGAAATTAAAAAAAAAAACCTTTAAATACTTTAAATTGAAAAAAATCGAGCATATATTCTGTTAACATGAATCAGGAAGTTCAAACCTCTATTACTTACGTAAAAATAAAAATCTAATAGCTAATTTTTTCAAAAGTTAAATACACCTTAAGAAGAAATTTTTGACAACTTTTTAGAAATTTTCGTTCAGACACGTTTAAATTATAGACAGTTAAAATTAGAAATATGTAGGATTTCACTATGTTTAAGACCTTAAAACTTAAATAAAAAAATGTATATTGATCTAAAAAGAGTATAGGTCAAATTGATATGGACTACATTATAATTAAAAACAATGATTGTGATATATTTGTTTTATTAGACAAAAATATATTGTTTTTTTTGGAAAATTAAATAGTTTCTACTGGGTTAAAACATTGTGATACATAATTAAAATACTTATAAAAAGTAACTAAATTGTAAATATTTATAATTTTATTTTTACCAAGAGCTCAAATACAATATCCTGAACCCCCCGTAGTATTATATGACTTTTTCTAACGAATACCTAAAGTAAAAAAAAAATATATAAACAAAAACACCTTTAAAGAGAAATGATGAAAGTTTAAATTATTTCTAAACTTTAAACTACAACCAAACCAAACTATAGTAGCACATAAGTTAGGTGTTTCACATGAAATGACCCAACTTCTTTAAACCTAAATCAAATTTTAGCTAATACAATGTACTTTTAAACATATTCAAAGAAAATCTATTTGAAAAAAAAAATGTATAGACTGAAATTTTAATACTACTTATAATAGCAACCAATTTATTTATTTTTGGAAAGCAATTATTAACATTGTAAATGAGATTTAGTTTGTGTTTTGTTCAAGACAGTTTTTTTGTGGTGTACATACGAATTGATTTTTTTAAAATTATAAATTATTTTTTGCGTAATAATATTCAATATTTCTGTAAAACTATTAAAAAAAAGATACTATATTGAAATGGCTCAAGGTTTTTCAAGTGACGACAGCTTAAACGAATGTCCAAGTTCGTCAAATGGTTTCAATAATTTTGGGATGGAAAATTCTTCATTAAAAAAAAAAAAGAACGAATCGTCCAATAAAATTGGATTTAATGAAAAAAAGTAATTTCTTAAAAAGTAAAATTTATCGATATTGAAGAATATTTTTTGAACCGTAACTATTAAAATAAATTCTTAAAAATTAGGCTGTAAAAATGTGTATTAAATATCTCGTGAGAATTAAAATATATTGTATGTGTAAAATATATGTATAATATATTTAACTATTTAACATTTATTAAATAAATCATGAATTAAATTAAGATGTCACAGACTAAAGTGTAACTCTGATCGCTATAAGTTTGATGTAAGCTCAAATTTGAAAAGGAAAAAAGTCAAAATGTTAAATGAACGAAAATTTAAAGTCAGAAAAGTTGATTCCCTTGGTGAGTAAATTCAGTATAATACTTAATTATTTGACTTTACTATGAAACAAGTTAATAAACAAATTTGCAATATGTAATATTAATACTCATTGAGAAATATTATTATTAATGGTTCGATTTAATTTTATCATGTAAAGGATTAATTATTTACAATGGTTTATTTATAGTTTTATGTTTAAAATTAAATTATCAAAATGATATCTAATTTAAGTATTTATTCATTTTTCAAGAATTAAATTCAATTTTAGATTATATTATAGTCAAAAAATTCTTCTTGTTATATTTAAAGAAAATAATTGTTAAAATAAAAAATTGTTAAATAAATTTCAAAAATATTAAGTGAAAAATATGTAAGCTTTAATTATCTTCTAATTTAACTACAAGAAATCTCGGCCATCTATAAACTTTTATCATAAATAAAATTGAAGTTTAATACAAAATAAATAAACAAAATTTTACATGTAACGATTAACTATTTTCCGTTTTTATGAGTTTTTTGACAATAATTAAGTAAATAAATATAGTATAATTTTGAGAATAAAATGATTGATTTTTTAAATATTATATTAAATCAGATATAAAAATTTCAAAGGAGAAAGAGCAACCATTTTCATCTACTGTCAATGAAGATGAAATTAGATCTGATGTCTATTTGGAATCACGCTTAAATAGATATGGACAATATGATGGATTTCATGGCGAAAGAGAGTTTACTCTAGTAGCCAATACTGATATTGTTATAAATACAGCCTCGGAGTTGATGGAAAATAGTTCAGGCAAAAGTGAATTGGAGGTATTTAATGGTGATAGTCAAACTGATTGGACTTTGAATGATGGAAATGGACATGAAAATGAGCAAGGTTGTTTCGATAGTAGTCTGATGACAGACTTGGATAGTTACATAGGTTACGATGGATTTCATGGCGAAAGAGAGTTTACTTTAGTAACCAATACCGAAACTATTATAGATACAGCTTCGGGTTTGGTAGAAAATAGTTTCGATAACATGACACATAATTATATTAATGATGATAATCAAGGTGAATTGACTTTGAATGTTGGAAATGGACTTAAAAACGAGTCGAGTAATTTTGATACTAGTCCGAGAACTAACTTGGATAGTAACGATGGTTATGATGGTATTTACGGCGAAAGAGAGTATAATTTAGTAGCCAAAACCGAAAATGTTATGGCTGGAAACGCGGAGTCAATAGAAAATAGTTCCGACAATGATGAACTGGATGATAGCGATGATGAGGATCAAGAACAATCGGCATTGAATATTGTACAAAGTCAGAAGAACGTACTAGAAGATTTTTATACAATTTTGAGGTCAAATTTGGATGGTTATGATGTTTATGAGAGTTTCTATAACGAAAAATTTTCGCTTGTAGTATTTAACGGAAATAATTTTATTTTTATTGTTTTTTATTTTGAATCAGTCATTATTTTTGGATTGGTTGTATCTTTATTTTGAAATAATAATTTATTTGATTTTTGTATGAAATAAAATTTTCATACACTACTTGTTTCATGTTCTTTTTTAAATTTATTTTTTTGTAGAGTTTATAAAAAATTCAATTATATTAAGTTTTAGTTTCGATGCGAAGCCGAGAAAGTATTAGTTTTTCTATGATATATTTTTTTTTTGTGTCTATTACCACTTTTTCTCAGCTTTCATCGAACCGATTTCTTTCAACGATACGTCAAAAGATCATAAATCGTATCTAGTCAAAGACATTACCCTCAAAAATTGAAAAAATTTCCCTCGTTCCCCGTTAATAGGAGAAATCACCAAAAAAATTGNACATAAGGTTTCGTCCTCCCATTGCATTATGTTAGTTTACGTTGGGTTTCATCGTTCTCCCCCACCATTACATTAGGTTAGTTTACGTTAGATTTAATCCCCCCGTACACTTCCTCCACCGCAAGGAAGGTGAGTGGGTGAGGCGGGGGGGGCCCAGCTCTCTCCAAATTACCCTACTGGTATATTTTTTTTTATAAATCTAACCCTTTAATTGCTCACAGGCAAGGATTCAAAATAACAACTTTTTCACAAAAAAATAACTTTTTCAGTTTAACTTTTGAAAGTATTCCGGAAAGTCTGACAATTTTATATATATCTTAAATTAAAGCTAATGTAATGTACTTTATTATGGAAAAAAAAATTTTGGACTTTATTTTTTCTTCACGGTGAAAATGGCTACCAAATACTATTTTTGTGTGAAAATTCTCGATTTTATTTTTTACATTTTTAACTTTATAATGCTGTAACTTATTGAAAAGTGTATGGATCAATACAATTTTTTTATGAAAAATAATTTTATATCCTTTTGTCATTCGACATACTTTACCTTAATCAGGATATTAATAAGGAAATAGCAGAACATGTAGCTTTTGGAATAATCCATGAATTTTTTAAAATTAAACACTATCTATATGATTGAAACATTATTTTATGATCTTATGTTGTTGGATATTATTATGGTAGATTGTAAGTTAAATGTTTCTTTTTGTGAAAAAATATTTTCTTAATCTAACCGCTTAAAAAATAATAGTGTATTAAATTAAAATAAATATTATAATAAGTTTTTTTAACTGTTATGCTCTATTGAATTTCATAGAATCGCAATGTGGCTTTTAAATACAATAACAATTTAATAAAGGTAGTTTACTTAATTATAAATGAATTTAATTTAAAATTTAATTTCATAAGTTTTTATGAAAACTTTGATTTTAGCTAGCTTTATTTTATATTTTTATCATTGAACAGATATTATATCTGACTAGAAAAATTAATTTGAAAACTTTTTAAACTTACGTCAACAACTTTGTTTATTTATTGGTTGAAATTCTTAAGTTTTGTTATCAAAATAAGTCATTTTGTTTGCTGACAACTGAGTGTTAAAATTGGCTTAACCGGTAAACGATTTTGCAACTTTCAGATTTTGGTTTACGTTTCATATTTTTTTTTTACATTCTTTGATGCTTATATTTAACTTTGAAAGGAATTAAAAACTTTTTTCGTTAAGAAGGTAAACAATTCATATTTTATTGTTAAAGTAAGTTATAACTTATAATTCAAACTTATAACAACACGGCGGAAAATATTTTGTATTACTAAACCCTATTAGATCACTGTTCGACTTACATTTTGTAAAAACTACTATATTGTTATAATTTCATAAATTAAATCCATTAGTTAGACTTCATATTTAATATTTAGGGATTTAATTTTTGTTTAAACGCTACACTAAACAAAAAACTACGGTCAAAATGGGAATAGTTTCATAAATAAATTTATACATACAGAATGTTTTTTTACGCTAGCCATTCGATTTCTCTTAAAATAAATAATTAGAAATCAAGGATATCCCTGATAACTTTTATGAGTGTTTTAATGACTTTTTTAATGACAATATAAAAATTTTACTAGCTAATAAATTAAAAATGATCTAATTATGAAATTGACTAGACGATAGCAACTGTTGGGTCAGTACTTCGAGAGTTATTAACATTTTTATACCTAAGCGGATGCAGGTGAGGCCGAAAAATGTTTTATGATAAATATTGTTAAACGACTCACCTCCAGTCTATATTTTAATATGGAAATTAAACGGAAATAATTGGTTAAAAGTTATTATCGATCAGTAATTTTTTAACTAATCATTTTTTATTTTACTGGCTATTTAAATATGTACGTTGCCTTAAAAAAATTGATACCCTTATAATGTGTATAGAATGTGTAGGCAAGTAAAAGCACATTGGAGGTAATGCCTACAATCATTTTTTATGAACTCATTATCTTTTGATGATATTTTTTTTATGAAAAAATTTATTTTGATAAAGAGATGTACGAGGCAGATAAAACAGTTCAATAATTAGAGCAAGTACATTTTTAAATTATTACACAAAATATTTAACTTCGAGTACTTATAGTTGGTTTGCACAAGATATCATTAATTTTTATTCAATGCTAAAATATTTCATTATATTAGAGATGAATAATATTGTAGATACATACATTCAAATCTATTATATTTATATATGTACTTTACATTTATTGTAACGTAGCATTTTTTAATGACATACAATACAATTTTATCCGTAGTGTAGTATAATTTATGACTGTTGAATTAATGTTTCGTAAAGAATTTTTTTTTTTTTTATAATAGCCGCGTTTATTCAAATGAATGCATCCCAAGGAACCAATAGAAATACATACAAATAAACACCATTTATTTATTTGAAACTAAAAACCAGAAGGCTTTTAAAGTACATCATTTAAATAATTCATGTCGGCCTAATAGCAAGAATAAAAAATCTAGCATATTGAGTTAACTTTATTCTCCCAGAAAAATTAATTAAAACGAATCTAATAGACTATGCCGTTTTAATTATTTGATTTTCCGACATAGCCCTAGTAATTCATTGCTACTCTCAGAACTCTCAAAGTTTTCAAATCTAATTATCCGGTACAATAAAAATGATCTCTACGAAACTAAGTGGAATTTTATTGAGCATTATTTTTATAAATAGCCCGACGTGTGCACAATACAGTTATATTAATACATATCATACAGCTCATAAAACAAAGCTTTCCGGTCTTTTCATAAAACGGAAGTGTGAGCGTAAAGTATAATGCCAAAGTTCAATTATTTCTCTTATTATTTATGTGACACAATTTTGCCAAACCAAGCGCGTATCGAATACAACAGCTTCTCGAATATGGTTAAACTGCAGTACTTTCCTATCTTCATTATTATATTACTATTGTTTTATGCTAAGAAATAGCATTAAATTATAATATCTCTACTTCTTGAAAGGTTATTTTGTATAGTGTTATCACTAAATGAATAGAATATCTTGTCGTGATTTACTATACATGTAATAATAGAAAACCGAGTTTATACACGTATGATTAACAATATTAATTAATAAAAAAAAATTGTTATTTTTATAAACCCTATATATCAATGTGTTAATTGAGGTAAGACGGTGTAAGATGGCCATGTTAGTCATTCACTTCTGTGAATGGATTTAAAATCTGAAATTCGCATGAGAAATACTACGATAACTATACTAATCCAAAAAATTGTTTCAATCGTCTCTTAGAGGTAAAATATAAGTTGTTCGGAAAATTTTAATTTTTGGTTTTATGTTAGTCCTTAAATGGTACAGTGAAAAAATGTAACATTTTTAGTACAGTGCGCTTCATTTTATAATGATAATTTAACCGTTATTGATCAACTATTTCAATTATAAATTTTTTAATAATAATATATATGACACAGATAATTAAATTAAACATTTATGTTTACATAAAAGTATTATTGGTATTATTTTAATGAAAGTTTTGCAAGTAAAATAAAGTTCGAGTGAAAAAACATTTTTTAGGTAGAAATAATTTATGACAAAAATACTGTATTAAATTTTTATTATTCAATATTTTATTATAAGTCATTTTTATTTTTTAAATTTTGTAACATTTCAACAATAATCATATGTAATTAACTTAAGATAGGTAACCTTTTTTGAAAAAGTAAAAACAATTTTATTCAACGAAATAAATTGCTAAAATAGGTGTTTTACGTTGATAATGGTAACTTTGTTTTCAAAACACGCACTTATGATTTTTTAGTTGATCTAACACATCCACACCTCCTATAGTACTATTGTAATACGAAATTATTTTTGGCTTTCGTGCTATCTTCATTGAAATCTTTATGACGGTCATAGAAGAAATTCACATAGCTGCTCTATTTGGTTTAGTTACATAAGATATAAGAGTTGAATTTTTAGTATACCCGTATGTAGTAGAGTCAACGATATTATTAAATTCTGGCGGTATTTCTCTTTTACTTTTTTTTAGCGTTCTAACATAATTCATTTTTTTTTTTTAAGTTTTACTAACTTTATGAAACAAAATAAATTATCTCCTGTAATATTTCTATTTGAACCGTGTATTAGTTTAGCTAACCCCAAAACTTACTCAGTAGGTTTGGCAAACTTTTTTTCGGTTGAATTTTGTGCAATTCCATTGGTATATTGATCAGCATAAACATATGCATTATATAAATAATGACTGTTGGAATCAGCCGCATTAATTTTAATCCATATCCTGCAGGCTTATTTGACATGTATATTTTAAACTTACATTTCCAGCGAAAACTAACAAACATTTCATTTATAGTAACACATTATTTCAACGAAAATTTTTAATTTACAAACAATAATTCATCGAAAATTTCAGAAATAGCAGTGATAGGGTTGTTTTCTTTTTTTTAATTCTAGTATACGGATTATGAAAACGCAAACAGTTAATTTAAAATATAAATCTTTTTTACTCGTGTCTAAATGAAATATTTTTCGATCAGTCCCATCTGTAGTAAATCTGTAATAGATCTGCACTTTAATGTTTTGTCTCAAATATAGCACAGTAAAATAATATTTCAAAATGTGATCGGCAAGTTCATTTGTTTAATAAATAACTCAAAAAAAAAATTCAAAAAACTTATACAGTGTAAAAGTACTGCATATACAGTACAGTGTGACTACCGCTGGAGATGATTTGTCAACAATGACAACAGT